TGGGCAATGAGGGTGAGGTCTTGTTAGTGTATGAAGAGGAAGAGCAACCATGAAATAAAAAACAAAATGAAGCTTGTTTGAATTTTTGGAAAGATGTAATGGATGAGGCAATACTTGGTATCTTATCACATATTAACTTTATCTGAAAGAGTGTTCTTTTTTTTCAGGGGTAGAAGAATATTATAATTAAGAGCACAGGCATGGAAATAGCCTAGCAGTGTGACCTTGGGCAAGTTTCTTAACTCCCTTGACCTTCACATTCTGATTTTTCCTGTTGGAGAGGCAGGTGATGGTAGTATAGGGTTGTTCTGAGAAGTCACTGGCATCATTTACTAGCAGTCTTGGCCCTGCTCGTGGCACACGTGTTCACGGCACTCACTGTTAGCTGCCTGTGTGTTGTGATCTGGTTGGACATAGATTGGGCCATACAGGGATTTCCACATTTTCTGGGCTGCAGTGAAACCATCTGTACTTGAGAGCAAGGCTAGCATCCCTGGCTCCACATTTCTAAGCCCTGGTCTATGGTAAAGCAAGTAGCGGCGGGATTGTCTTACAGGTGTGGTGAAGCCACATGGCTGGGATACTTTTCTTCAAAGCTCCTCCTTTTGAGTAGCGCAAGCTGCCTTTGAACTGTGTTGCTAAGGGCATGCGTGGCCTGTCAGATAGTTGCCATAGGAACAGTGTGAATTTAGTCCCTGTACCTGAAAGAGACCCTGACGAATAGCAACAATTCCAAGCCGATGGTTGAGTCAACTATTTTGGGCAGTTTAGATAAAATGTCACTGAACTATCTGCAGTTCTTCTCAAACCCTTTCCAAGCAGTAGTTGTGAGGAGACCTATCTTATTGTAGGTGATTTCAGTTACAAATGATGACTTCCTGTCCACACCATAAAGATCCAGCATATGATATTCATTAGTGGATCCCGCCTCTGCAGAGAGGAAGTAAAAGCAAGACTTGTTTGAGAGAACAAAGTCCTTGTTGGGTGGAATCCTAGCACTGGTGTGGTTTGCTCTGAATCATTTGGGCAAGGCTCTGCCTCCCACTTCATTTGACTACAAGGAACTTGTTGCCGTGGAATTTCCTTGAATGGTCTCCACATAGGGCTGGTGGAAGGTGGGCAGGGAGGAGGGAGATGGACTGTAGCATCATGTTTAGAGTTTGGACCAAGCAGATTTGGGTTGCAGAATGAATTTTTATTTGACAAACACTGTCCCCAATATTAACTCACTGGGTCCCATGACTCTCAAATGTGGGTACTAAAGTCATTCCTTCTCTACAGAAAAGTAAATGGAGCCACAAGGTGTTAGAATAGGACCCAAACCAGTCCGACTAATTCTCGTCTACGCTCCTCACCACAGCGTGGTGTGGTAGATTTGTCCTTAAATACATCATGGCATTTTACACATGAGAGTGGAAAGAAATTACTTCTGTTTTCCACTAGAAATACACTTTGAGTGGTAAAACTAAGTGTACATGACAAAATAAAGGATAAATACATTTCTCCTAAAACATTCCAGACAATGGTCTGTCTGAACATTTGACCAAATAAAGCATTCATTTAATTTTTATTAGCGTTTCTGTCATTCAACTTGTTCTTCTTTGGAAGCTTAAAAGTGCTATGAAGATCAGTTCAAGGAAAGGTGATGTATTTCCGCCATTTCTCAACTGTTTACAGAGCAAAAATCTGATAGTGTACTTAAGAGGGACAATTCTTTTCATCAACAGTAAAAATGTATTATTACATTTTGCATCCAAATGCTGCTTTAAATCTTGAATTAATTCCCTTTAACATGCTTCGCTTATTCTGAAAACTCTTCTAGACGAGAACAAATTAATAGGATGTCCATGTTAGATAGCTATGAATATATTAAAATTTAACAAACATGTATTGAGGGCTTAACATATATAAGATATGAAGAACTTTGAGAGGTTAAAAATAATTTTAAATTAAGCTCTTGCCGTGAAGGATTTTATTTTTCAGTAGCAGCAATAAACCAGTGAGTAAGTGAGTGGTAATAAAAAATGGGAAGGGGGGGCTTCAGGAAGAGACTTCTGGCTGGAAATGAAGGAAGATTTCATGAAAGAAGTAGGGGCCAGGTGTGGTGGTACCCGACTGTAATCTCAGCACGTGGGAGGCTGAGGCAGGAGGATCGCTATAAGTTTGAGGCCATCCTCGGCTACATAGGGCGATCCTGTCTCAAAAAAAGAAAAAGAAGTGGGAGTTAGGTGTTAGCTCTATGAAGGTATCTTTAATTTGGTATCCCAGTTCTTAGCACAGTATCTGGCACATGTAAAAAGCTTGATTCAATATTCTTTAGATAAATGATTTGGAGCTAGATGATAAGCTATGAGAAGCAGGAGCAGATGTGAAGAAGCACAGTCCTGATCCAACTTCATTGAGAAAATACTCAGTGTCCATTTTGTCTGGGCCAGGCCCACACCAGGCGGGCAGAGCGGCGAGTGCTGAGGTTCGGATCCCGGAGCGGAGCTGGGGTGCAGGGCGCCGGGAGGGCGGCGGGCTGGGTGATCGGAGGGAGTGGCAGATAAGGCTGTAGAGCTGGGAGCTGCAGTGCGATATCTTTAAGGCTGAGGAGTTTGAGAAAGATTCCCACATGGGTAGTTTTACCCAACTGTCTGTTGTTTACTTCTTTTACGCAAATATTGATTGATAGCTGATCATGTACATTTTGTTAGTATAAAAATAAACCTACTTGGACATAACAATACCACTTCATTCATTTATATACAGTCATTTTTCAGGATTCATAGGGACTGGATCTAGGACCTCCAAGGGTATAAAAATTCATGGGTGCCCAAGTCCCTTACATGAAATGGGCTGGTGTTTGCGTATAAACTACACACATCCTCACATAGGCTTATACCTGATACGATGTAAACGCTACGTAAGTAGTTGTTACTGTTTAGAGAATAAAGCCTGTACATGCTCAGTAAAGGTGTGTTCTTCCCTCTGCCCGAATATTTTCAATCCATGGTTGGCTGAATCTGTGGATGTGGGACTTGTGGATACACCGGGCCGGTTGCATTTCCTCTTGCAATGTGCTGGGGCCTGGGAGTACTTGTTATTGTTTTTATGTTGTTTCCAAATCAAATAAGCAGCCAAGAAAAAACAAACAAACAAACTTTTTTGTGCTTCACAGTAATGAGTTCTAAAATAGCATTAGGACATGTTGACCAAATTAATTTTGTGGCAAAGCTGATTTTTAATTCATGAATCCGAGTCCAGAAGGATTTGAATCCCAGTTTCCCCTAAAATAGCCACGGAAGCTTGCAGTAATTCAGCATATATAAGCTATATATTTACATATATCTTTCTATTGATGCCTACATCTATATCCACATGGCTTTCACACTACATAAAGATGTTTTGGAGTTTGCACTCGACAGTTCTGAGTGCCACTTCTTAGCTATGTGTCTTTAGGCAAACTGCTTAATTTGAACCTGAATTTCCTTATCTATAAAGTTGGGAAATTCCTAACTCATTGTATCTGTGAGAAAATCATAAGAGCATACATTTATTACTGAGCAATTTCCAGGTATTTTCCACATAAGGAAACAGGGACAGAGTGATAAAGTTGCACTCCCTTAGGGGCTGGGGATTTAGCTCAGCGGCAAAGCGCCTGCCTGGCAAGCGCAAGGTCGTGAGTTCGGTTCCCGGTACCGGAGAAAAACCAAAACAACAACAACAACAAAGTTGCACTCCCTTAGCTAACGTAGAACTGGTCCCAGCCCAGATGTGTGGCTCTGAATCACTTTCTGCACCACTCTGTTAGGGCCTTTCTAAAGGTTTCTTTGCAAAGTACCTCCCGGTGACTCTTATTTCTTTATCTACCATGGCATTTATGAGGCTGAAACGGGATAGCTCTTTCATCTTTGTAAAGTTCAGATAACAGTTATGCAAACATAAAGCAACTAAAAATTTCAGGGTCTAAATTTTTAGAGTGGCTAGAATTTTAGTAGCCATTTCCCATACCGATGATATAATATGTTTTATGTGGAAAAAAAAATTTAAAAGATGAATTAAACCAGGATCATCCATAATCCCTAAAGTAATAAGTGGTTGGGATTTTAGTGAAATGAATAATTTTTGCGTCCTTGGTTTTTAAAAAAGCAGTTCAGTATTATGATATAAGCAGCAACAATGCTTTATAGGCCATATGGAAAATTTACCTCACTTTGGGCTTGGGGATTTAGCTCAGCGGCACAGCACCTGCCCGACAAACTCAAGGTCTTGCGTTCGATTCCCGGTACTGGAAAAAAAAAGACAAAAAAAAAAAAACCCAAAAATTTACCTCACTTTTTAAACTGAGTCATGATAAGTCTCACAGTGAACATTATAATTTTTAAGAAATAGGAAGTTTTGAACTGAAGATAATGTGGGCAGAGTTGAAATTCTCATTTGGTCCCTTTTGGAGGATTATATAATACAATCTTTCCTTATGTGTATTGTACCGGTCCCATAACAATATTAAAAAGGCCAAAGAGGCAGCTGGTGAGGTCTTTTTAATGAAGGATCATGAACATTTGTGGATTCTTTCCCCTTTGGGAATTAATATATTTGTAGCTCTGAATTAGAGCCACTAAATGTTTTTTACTTAGTTATCCTGGCATTTGCCAAAACATATCTTCCCTACCCATAAAACAAGTGAAAATTATTTATAAAAACAGAACAAAAAAGCCAGAAAATAATACTTACTCCTGATTGTTTGAGATCTTAAGTGAAAGTTACAGTGGAAGGAAGCAGTTGAAGAGGTGAATTTACAGAGATTCCTTTGGTGATGTTGACTTAGGCCTTGCTATCGATGAGGGATCAGGAAGATTCTGGAAGGCCAGGCTGATGCTCATGGAGCAAAGCTGGCCTGTACCAATCCCATGTGACTAGGTTTGTAATTGGATATCACTGAGTGATTCTTACTGGTTGCAGAGACATGCTTTTAACAGACTGGCCACTAATCCCCTTTATCTTTGGTTTATTCACAGGAGTTTGAGCAAGAATAGCAAGATGACTCCAGCCCGTCCTCACTCCCTGTGTCTGCTTATACTTTATTTGGTAAGAGAAGAGAGTATGTGTTGGTGCTTATTTTCTGTCCTCCTCCTGCTGTGTACCAGGGAAAGAATGGTTTTCATTACTTAAAAAAAAAGGTGACCTATGAAAATTATATTGTTGTATAGAATGGACACTGTGTTCTGATGTTCTCTTTCCAATGAAACAGCTACAAATCTCATGTCTGGCCTTCAACTGGAGCAGACACTTTTTCCTCAGCTCTTACACGCCAGCACCACTTAATGAGCAAAGTTTAAGACAAATACGTTCTTCATGGATATCTTAGGGAATCTGGAAAGAAATTATACTGATACACGTATTAGCCTTTATCCTTTAATCTTGACTTTTTTATTTTGACCATGAAGATTTACTACAAAAACACATCAAGAGAAATGATTTTCCCAGTTTTTAACTCTTGTGTATTTTCCCCACACAAATGGGTTTTTTGGTTAAATTTGTCTTCAGTCATTTGTTGAGTCAACGCTATTGACCGAGACGCTTCCAGGGCTTGGATCTGGATGGGAACTAGAGTCCCAGGCTGGGTGGAGGGCAGAGTGCATCCTTGCTCTATCCATGAAGCTCCTGAGGTTTGCAAAGTTGCCCCAATTTTTTTGTGTAATAAAGGAAGGTTATGGAGATGTATTTGCTTTTTCCCTAGAAGGAAACTCCTAAATCCTCATGATTTCCATCTTGTTTCCTTTCTTTTGGGATCCAAAACTAATATACCAAGCCCTAGAAAATCCCCATAGAGCCCATATAGTTCAAGATTTTTTAGAGAGTGAAATATCATCAAACTTGTGAAACCTTAAGAGCCTTCTTCCTGGGGTGGGAACTGCAATTTAGACTTCATGGACCACGTGTGTCCTCATAGCCCATGGGTGCAAAGCTTGTCCTTGGGCTCATGGAAGGGCTGGGTCGGACATCCCATTTGGCCCTGCCTTTTTACCTATGTCCTCAAAATGTCCTTTCCTACCTACATTATCGTGGGGCGGTCATGAAGTCAGTCCTGGGTTCAAACTTGTTGCTGCCACTTACTAGGGATAGGAACTTGACTGAGTCATATAAGATTTAAAACTCAATTTTTCCCCTTTGAAATGGGCCTGATAATGGTACTTGATTTATGGGATGTTGTTGCAATTAAATGAGATAATGCATTTATAAAGTTCTTAGATCAGTGACTGGCACACTCCCAGAGCACAACAAATATTCTAAAGGTCTCACTGCAGCATTTTAAATGTTCGGTGTCTGCGCTCGTATGGACCCTAAGCTCTACGATGAAGGGGCTGTGTTTTAGTCACCTTTGCAGAGTTAGCCCCTAGCAAGTACCATGAACAGGGTAGAAATGAAATACATGATTATGGACCTATACTGGGAAACAACAGTGACAGGGAGGGAGATCACTCAATACTTTGCTATTACTGGGCTCATATGCTTCCTGTGTGAGAAGGCGGCGTCCGTTTTTGTTCCTGGCTGAAAGGTGTTCTTTTCCAGTTTCTACCACACCATCCTTCTCAGTCCTGTTGGTGTGGCTTGATGACTCAGAGGGCGCACATGCATTTTGAAATCTTTATGGCCCCAATAGCCATATCAACGGGCAGGAAGAGAGATTTACTACCCTGATATGAGGATGCAACTTTGAACCCTGGAACGGCAACCTGACACACCTTTCCTATGGGTGAACCAGCTTGTCTCCATAGGAAAAACACAGCCTCATTTTTGGGGTTCCTGGCTGATGTTGTGATCACCTGCAAAGTTGACCTCTCTGGGCACAAAATGAGGGAGGTTGTTTGCTATTGAGCAGTAGCTCTGCAGAAAGCACAGTTCTTATGTTGGGCCAATCATGGTGGCATATGGACATCTGTACCCAACCCCTATGCTTCCCCTTCCAGAGGAGTTAATGGAAGCGGATGAGATGTGGAAAAGCAGATGGAAAAAAGAGCTCCCAAAGGAAGTCAAACTAGGATAAAGGGGATGGCTAGAAGTCTGTGAGTTACAGTCTGCTGTTAGCTAAAATTAGCTGGAAATTTGACTTGTCTCTTAAATAAATAGAGGTTTATTTTCCTCCAATAACAGGAAGTCCGAAGGGATCTATTAGGGGCAGGGTCAGCAGTGTCTTGAGGTTGTCAGACTCCTGAATTCCTTTCTCTTTGCCCTACCATCTTCTGAATTGCTCTGTTCTCTCATGGTTGATGGTAGCTGCACCAGCTACAGATGTGAGGTCCATTGTCTTGGCCAGAAGGACACAGAGAAGGACGATGCCAGCCACATCTGTCCCTTTTCAACAAGAAAACACAAGTCTGACACCCCCAACCCCTCCGTGCTCTGCAGACTTCCCTCTTCTTTTGTGAATCAGAAATAGGTGACCTGGTCACCATTCTACTGCAAGGGAGCTTGGGAAGGAGCTGATTGGGCTTCCCGGCCTCCATGGTGGGAGGCAGCAAAGCAGTGACCCAGGCACAGCTCTTTGGAGTAGCAGCCAGAACTCTGATGCAGAGATCACATTCAAAGCTCTCTGTTTTTGTTACTGGCTTTTACCAGATAACAGTATCAACTTAGTCAAGATTCAGCCAAGGGAGAGACATCGTATGGGACCTCTCCCCCTGCACTCACATACTGGCTGTTTTAGGTGACCCCCAGCCGGCATCAGGTTATATGGCCTGCGTGTACTTGCTTTCACTAAGCATAAGTGGAAACAAATTGTCTTTTGTCCAGCTGGTTCTTACCTTGTTGGTTTCACTTGTCCATCAAATTGCCCTTATGCTTCTGATTCTAATTTAACTCGCCCCTGGTTCCCATCACAAATGGGAGATCCAAAGAACTACCCAGGAAAGACAGGAGGCCTGGCCAGCATCTGGCCTGAGACACGAGGTCCCTGGTCCTAGAGGGCATCTCTCCATGGTATATGGCTGGCTCCATGCCCCGGCTTTATTCTGCCTTGTATCTTCCTTTAAGGGCAGCATCACTATCATGGTGTGGGGTGATGGAGTCGGCAGGGCTGCTGCTGAATGCGCCTATCTCCAGGGTTGGGCATGGTGGGAGTCATACCCCAGAGCACATTCCCACTGTGCTAGCCTTTCCCTCTAGGTTGTCTTGACCACGTTTGCACCTTCTGGTGGACAATGGTATATAGCGACTGAGAGGGAAAGTTGCAGAGTTCCAGATTTGATTCCTTCCTCCACCCCTGACCTGGTCAATTCTCTACATCTTAGTTTCATTACCTGTGAAATGGGGCTAATGGTAGAACTTTTCTCTAGTGGGCTTGTACACAGGGTTAAATGTGCTTAGAGCCTCATACTAATTTGCCAGGACCAAATTCTTCTTACTGTCTCACCTGCTGCTACTGTTTCCCAGTCTGATTTCAGTGACTGCAGAGGTGGCTTGGCTTTCTAGTCTTTGGATTTTAGAACCATTGTATGGTACCTGCTTGAAAGAAATAAACGTTGTGTGATTTTCTTGTTTTTTCTAAGTGACTACGAAGTATTACATATTAGAGTAGCAAGATTTTCTTGGTTTCAGTTCAAATTCAGATTCATATTTGACCAAAATTTACCATATTAACTATGGGCCAAGTAAGCATTGTACTAAACACCCCCTCCCCCATAAATTCAACTGTCCTTGAGGTGACTGTGAACACACCAGAGTGTTGGGAATTTGCCGTGAATGTCCTCATAAAATAACAGTGGCAAGAGATGTTTTAAGAAGCTGATCTAAAACCCTGTAGAATTTAGAATGTGGCTCAGTGGGGCAAAGTGTGTGTGCTACCCCCACTTCTGTAGTTTATTCTGGGCTGCACGGCTTAGGCCTCATCGTAATGTTGAGGTGCTAATATCTTTCCCAAAGGGGTTCTTGGTGGCTAAGTGAAAAAAAAGAAACAAAACCAGTGGAAGCCAAGGAAACTCTTCCCACATGGTAGTCCTTTAACAAATTTTAGATCCCTTTCTGTCTGTTTGACCACATTTTCTGTTTTCAGCTATGCTGGAATCCTGTCTTTCGTGGATAGTTTCTAGAAGCTCTCAAAAAGTCAGCAAGTGACTCACATACATTTATAATAGATGCTAATTTTTCTCTCTCTTTGTTAACAGACAGTGGGAAATGGTCAAGACGGGAAATTTAGTGGACCCCTGAAGCCCATGACATTTTCCATTTACGAAGGCCAAGAATCAAGTCAAGTCATCTACCAGGTAAAGGCTACCCTTGATCCCTGTCATCGTGATTTCTCAGAATGTGAGTGGACTTTTACTCCCTTCTATATTGTGCAATGGGAAATAAAATAGAAGCATGGCGAATCTACGCATCAAAGATGATCTCAGAGGCTAAGTTAAACACAGGCGGGTGGTACCCTACCCTGAGTCACACTGGATGTCCACGTCCGGACTTCCTCAATCATTGTGAGGCCAGGGCTTCCATCCTATCCTGTACAGGGAGCCTGGTATCTGTCTGCCCTGGAGTGGAAAGGGCCCCTATATGGAAGGCTGTCTGCTCAATGAGCTTCCTTATGAAGTGTTGGAAGGTGGGGCTTCTCTGGAGCCAGTGCTGGATGGGCCCCTCTGTGTGGACAAAGATCTCCCTTTTCCTCACTGCCAGCTCTGAGCCCAGGCCTGGCCCTCACTGACGGGATGGCCAAGGCATGAGAGGAAGTGGTCCTCTTATCCGTTACATGACTGGGAACGCATCAGGTGGAAGGGTGGGCTGCAGGTGGATGAGGGACTTCAGCTATGAAGGGCCCTGGAAAAATGCTGGAGTGTAATGAGAAAGGAAACATCCGCTGCATTTACCTGACATCCCCGCTGGAAGCTGCTTGGCCCAAGAGGGTGGAGGAGCCCTCATGAGCCTCTGGGGGTACTCATTGTCCCTCCCTGTGCCAAGCACCAGAGAACAACACAGGGTTCCTAGTCGATCTTCTAAGGTAGATGCTGCCATCGAGCACTGCGCGTCTGTCTTGTGGATGGCCCCTAGAGGGAAGGCTGTGAGCCGCCTCAGGTCCCTCCTCCCACTTGGTACCAAATGAGCACAGGTGGGAGTGGCAGCTGCACATGCACATCTGGTTATTCAGCAGGGCCAGGCGGAGTGTTAGAGGGCTCTTCTCGGCCTCTCTGGCCAGAGAGGTCAGGCACTGAATAGACAGCGAACACATTGAGAGCTGAGGGCTGACAGGAAGGAGAGAAGAATGTTGAAAGACACAGCAGGGACAGCTGCCCCATGCTGGGAGGGGGCTGTGGACTGCCAGAAGGCCGCCTGGCTGGGCCGGACAGAGCCAGGAGAAGGTGGGAGAGGAGGCTGCCGAGACCAGAAGGCCCTGCCTCCTGAGGTGCTGCGCTTTCCCCCAAAGGAGGGCCCTGATTCCGATTTCCTTTCGGAAAAGACCCCTGGGGCCACAACTGGAGGGGGCCAGGAAGAGGCCAGGCTCCCAGGAGAGATGACCTCCTCCTTGACGTCTTCTCTGCCCTGCCAGGAGTGCTTGGTTGTAGGTTCTCTCCGACATGTTTTCTTTCTTTCATTTGTGTACTGCACTTCACAAGCTGGCACGAACTTCATTTTCACACTGCATTGTTTTAAACCACAAACAGAGCAGCCCATGTGCAGGAAGCTCTACCCTGGGCGGCAGGGACACGGGGTCCAAAGGTGAAAGCTAACAAGGAAACCAACACGTGCACCAAAGATTCTGATGGGAGTTTGGGGGCCAAAGGCCAGGCAAAGAAAGAGGAACTGGGTCTATTTGCTTTTTAAATTTACAAAAGCTGTACATGTTTATTGTGTGCAGATGTTTTTAAAAAATATTCATCGTAGAATGGCCACACTGAGCAAGTAACAGCCACACCATCTTACATTCTCATTCTGTGTTGGTAACAAGAGTGCTCGCAATGTAAGAGCTGCTGGTTTTCAGTGAGGATAGCGTGGGTAACAACAAGGTTTTGTCAAACCCTGAACTGACAGGTGCTGAGAGCTGGGCAGGAACTCAGCGCAGGGGGCAGGCGCTGACTAGAGTATAAGGGAAGCATTGTTGGGGTTGAGGATAGGAGACAGTGCATGGTCAAAGGCCTGCACCCTTGCTGAGATCAGTACAAGCTGGCCAGCCCTTCTTGCTGGATAGACTGCTGGGTGCCATTGGAGGGCTTCAACAAGGACTGCTCTAAGTAGATCAGTAGGAGCCTACTCTGATCATGATGAGCACGGGTTCAAGGGGATAAGGCCGAAGGCAGGAGGGGTCTTGATGGACTTTTCAGTAGTCCGGTCAGAGGTGATGGGCCTGCTCTAAGTAAGGCAAAGGGCATGCTGGGGTCTGAACGCTGATGTCCTGCAGATTCTCATGTTGAAACCTAGCCCTCTATGTCACAGTATGAAGAGGCAGAGGCTTTAGGTCATGCAGGCAGAGTCCGCATAGATAAGATTAGTGCCCTTCTAAAAAAGGCTTAAAGGAGCCTTTATGAGGACACGTGAAAGGTGCCACCAAAGAGGACAGGTCTTCCCTCCACCCTTCCTTCCCGTCTTTTGCTTCCTTTCTTTCTGTGATACTGGGGATTAAACCCAGGCACTGTCTACTGAGCCACATCTCCAGGCCCCACCTCACCCTCCCTTTAGACATTTTTTTGGGGGACAGGTTCTTGCTAAGTTGTTAAGTTGCCCGTGCTGGGCTTGAAATTTTGATCCTCCTACCTCAGCTCCCCGAGAGTGCTGGGATTACTGGCATGCACCATCATGCCTGGGTCTTTTACATTTCTATCAGCATTGTATAAGAGTTCCAATTTTTAAGTATCTTCAACATTTATTATCTTTTTTATTATAGCTATCCGAGTGTTTATGAAGTGGTATTTATTTGTACCTTTGCTTTGGATTTCCCTAATAACTAGTAGTGTTGATCTTTTCATGTGCCTCTTGGCTCACTCTCTATATTCTCTGGTTAAATGCCTACTCAAATATTTTTCCTATTATTTAATTGGATTGTTTGTCTTTTTATTGTTGTAAGAGTTCTTTAGATATTCTTCTTGTAAATCCTCCCTTTGGAAATATATCATTAATAAGTATTTTCTCACAATTTTTAGGTTACTTTTTAAAATTTTCTTGATAGTGGCCTTTGAAACAAAAATACTTCTAATTTTATGAAGGCCCATTTATTTTTTCTTTGTGCTTTTGGTGTCATAGCTAAGAAACTGTAGCCTTCTCTAAGACCATGGAGGTTTATGTTATGTATGGTGTGAGGGCAGGGGTCCAGTTCATCTTTTGCATGCAGATATTCAGTTGTCTCAGAACCATTTTTTGGAAATCATTATTCTTTCCCCATTATCTTACCACCCTTGCAGAAACCAGTTGGCCATAAATGTAAAGATTTGTTTCTGAACCCCTGCTAATTCTTTGATTTACTTGTCTATCTTAAGTGTTACACTGTCTTCACTGTGGTTTGTGTGGTTAGTATTAAGTCCTACAACTTTGTTCTTTTCCATGATTGTTTTGGCTATTCTGAATCTCTTTCTTTTCTGTATGAATTATAGCATCAGCTTGTTAATTCTTTAAGCAAAACAGCTATAATCTTAATAGTGACTGTTTTGAAGCCGCAGATCAATTTGGGATTATTGCCCTCTTAACAATACTAAAATTTCCAGTCTGTAAACATGGGATATTAAGATTTATTTAGATTTCAAGATTTATTTATTAAGGGTATTAATTAGAGGTAAATATTAAGGAGATTAAGGATATTTGTTAAGGATCTTAAGACATTTATTTTTTAAAATTAATTTTATTGGTATACTTTTTATTTTAAAGAGAATAAAAATAAGAAATAAAACAATAAAAATGACACAGAATTTTAAAAAAAGATGATAGGAAATTAACAATGTTGTTATATTGCATATTGTTATCTTCAAAGTAGTTGTTCAGACTAGCAGATATAGGCAATATTGATATTTTATTTTGCAAATTTCCAGAACTTATTAGCTGTAATAGTTTTTTAAAAAAAGATTTCTTGGGATTTTCCATATATAAAATCATGTCTTGAGCAAATGGAAGTAGTTTTACTTTTTCTTTCAAAAGGGTTGCCTTTTGTTTGTTTTTCTCAATAACTCCTCTTGCTAGGTTCTCCAATAATAGTTCAGTGGAAGTGGCAAGACTGGACATCCTTGGGCTGGGGATTTAGCTCAGTGGCACAGCGCCTGCCTGGCAAGTGCAAGGTCGTGAGTTCAATCCCTGGTACCAGAAAAAAACAAAAAGCAAAAAAAAGATTGGACATCCTTGTTTTGTTTTTTTCTTATGGGTAAAGCTTTTAGTCTTTTGCCAGTAAATATGACATTAACTGTGGATTTTTGTAGATGTCATTTATCAGCCTGAGCAGTTACATTCTACTCCTAGTGTCTTGATTATTTTTATTATGAAAGGATGTTGGATTTTGTCAAATAATTTTCTGCCTCAATTGAAATACACATGGTTTTTGTCCTTTGTTCTAGTAATAAAGATTATATTAATTGATTTTCCTATCTTGAACCTTGCATCCTGAGGTCAATTCCACGTGGGTCTAGTGTATGATTCTTTTTATGTTGCTGTGTTCAGTTTGCTAGAATTTCATTGAAATTTAGTGTCTGTACTCATAAGAGACATTGGTCTGAAGTTGTCTTTTTCTGATCTGGTTATCATCATAATACTGGACTAAAAATGGTTTGGGAAGTGTTCCTTAATCTTCTAGTTTTTGAAGAAATTTGGGAAGGTATATCAATTCTCTATTGCATGTTAGGTACAATTTACCAGTGAAGCCCTCTGGTCCTAGCCTTTTCTTTGTGAGATTTTTTTGATTGCTAGTCCACCTTTTTTTTTTTCTTGCTGAGGTTCTATTCATTTAAAAAAATTATTCTTGATTCACTTTTTGTATTTTTGTCTGTCCAGGAATTTGCCTATTTTCCTAGGTTGTCTAGTTTGTGGGAAAATAATTGCTCATAATAGTCTCTTAAGTGTTTTTTTTTTTTAATTTCTGAAAGATTAGGAGTGATATGCTTTCTATTTCCTGATTTTTCTTACTTGAGTCATAACTTTTATCTTGGTCAGGACAGCTGAAAATTTGTCAATTGTGTTGATCGTTTCAAAGAGTCAACCTTAGCTTTGTTGATTTAGATTTTTCTCCTTTGCTTTCATATTATCTATTTTAGTAATTTCCACTTTAATCTTATTACTTTCTCCTGCTTGCTTTGGGGTTGGATTATCCTTCCTGTTTTTCTTTTCTTTCTTTTTTTTTTTTGAGACAGGATCTCACTGTGTTGTTCAGGCTGGTTCTGAGTTCACTATGTAGCCCGGGTTGGCCTTGACCTCAGAGTAATCCTTCTGCCTCAGCCTCCCAAATGCTGACATTACAGGCATGCATCACCACACCTGGCTCTTTGTCTACTTTCTTAAAGTGAAATATTTATTTGAGATCCTTCTTTTTAAATATAAGCATTTATATCTATAGATCTTTTAAGTACTGCTTTATCTGCATCCCATATGTATACTGTTTTTTATTTTCATTTATATCAGTATTCCTTTAATTTCCATTTGAATTTCTTCTCCAACCTGTTGATTAGTAGAGCATGTGGCTTATTTGAACATATTTGTGTATTACTCAAATTTCATCCTATTATTTTAAATTTCAATTCACTGTGTAAGAGCACATATTTTTTATATGACTCCAGTCCTTTCAAATTTATTGAGACTTGTTTATGACCTCACATAAGATCTACCCTGAAGAATGTTCTGCATAATTGGCTTTTGTTGGATGGACTATTCTGTAGCGGGCTGTTAGCTTCTGTTTGGTTTACAGTGTTATTGAAGTATTGTATTTCCTTGTGGATTCTCTGTTCTATACACTATTGAAAGTGAAGTTGTAATCTTCAACAGTTACTGTTGAATTGTTTGTGTTCCCTTCAACTCTGTCAGTCTCATGTAATTTGGAGTCTCTTGCTAGGCACATGTACAATTGTTATGGTTTCCTGGTATACTGATCCTGTGTCACTGCAGAATGTTATTTTTGTCAGCAACAGTCTTGTCCTAAGGTTTTATCTGATCATAGTATAGTTAATTTCATCCTCACTTTGAAGAATAGTTTTGTTGGATTTACAATTCTTACTTGAAAGCCTTTCTCTTTTGGCATTTGGAATTTTGTTGCCTTCTGGCTTTAATGAAAAATCAGATGTTAGTTTATTGAGAAGCGCTGGTATGTGATGAGTCTGCAGTTTTAAGATTCTTGCTGCTTTCAAGGTTCTCTCTTTGCTTTTCAAATATTTCATTATGATGTGTCTAGGATTAGGCCTCTCACTTTAACCTGTTTGAAGTTCTCTGAGCTTCTTGAATGTGTAGATTACTGTTTTCCCAAATCTGGGAAGTTGTTGTCAGTCTGTGTTCAAATAAACTTTCTTCTCATTTAGTTTTGCCTTTACTCCTGGGACTCTTACTATGCATGTGTGTGTTGCCTGATGGTGTTCCAGCGGTCTCTAAGGTTTTATTCATTTTATTTTTTCTTTCTGTACTTTAGGGTGAGTAATATCAATGAATCTAGCTTCAAGTTCACTGATTCTTCTAACTCAAATCTGCTTTCAAACTCCCTTGAAAAATTTTCCATTTCAGTTAACATACTTATCAACTTCTGAATTTTTGTTTTTTAAAAAATAAAGTTCTATCCCTTTATCAGTATTTTCTATTTAGTGAGACTTTTTTTCATCCTCTCCATCCTCTAAAGATAATTTCTTTTAGTTTTGATCTCATTTAAAATAGACAATTTAAAGCCCTTAGTAATTCTGAAATCTAGGCTACCTTGGGAAATTTTTATAGAATGATTTTTCTTCTCTTGTGTTTGGGGCTTACCATTCTTACTTATTTGTATATTTCACAATAATTTACTGAAATTCAGACATTATAAACAATATAATGTAGCAACTTTAAATTAATTTCCTCCTTTTCCCAGGGCTGGTTACCATTTGTTTGGTGACTTATAAACTCATTCTTTGAAGTCTATATTCTGTGTTATGTGTGGTCACTGGGGTCTCTGCTCAGTTAGCTTAGTGTTCAGGTAATGACCAGACAGAGATCACCTTAGGTACCTTGAACCAATAAATCTCCCAACATTTTCCATGCTGCTATGAGGCACACCTTCATCCATATGGCAGAGAGTTTACAGCTCTGCCTTAGCTTTCACTTCCTGCTTGTGCAGAACCTCAAAGTTGCCAGAGCTGAGGGAGTAGGGCATGTTCACAGCCCTGCCCATCAATGTGGGCTTCTAGATTTTTAGTAATATGTCAGAGATTTTCAGAGTCTCCTATGGACAGCTTATTCCCCAAGTTTTGCTTTAAAATTCTTTTGATCAGCATTTTATTTGCTTCACTTATTGTTATCACATGCCTGCAATGCTAAGCAATTGCTGATGATGCTCTTCAACATATGCTGCAGGAATACAATTGTAGTGGGTGAGCTCTGAGTCAGCCTAAATGAAGTTTAGCCCTTGTCAGTGTTTCCTGGGAAATGACAGGCCAGATAATGCTAGTTCTCTGCTAATGGGCTTTGGGGAAACTTCAAGCTCCTAAGTCCCCTCTGTAGGACTGTGCTTGTGATACTGTTCGTTTCTAAGCCTACTTCAGATTTGAGCAAAGAACAATGGCATTAGACAAGTTAAAGCACCTCAAAGCTTGGTTCTTACTGATGGTCACATTTTTTTTTTAATTAAAATGTCTGGCATTTAATTAATACCTGAGGTTTTAAAAAAGTGATATTTGTACCTATTCCAGTGTTCTCATTGCTTTTATGGAGGAGAAGGTCTTTCTCCTTTCCCACTGATATCTGAGTCTTTTTCTTAACCACGTAGCAGTTTACCCTGAGTGTCACGTGGGTGGTACATTTGTTTAGGTACTGAGTATCGTGAGTGTTGCAGGTGTCATGTCAACTAGTTGATTCTTGTATTGAATAAATTTGATAAAGTTGTCATTTTTATATTTCTTCTTATATTATCTTATAAAAATTAACAAAAATATGAAGTTTGGTCATCCAGTACTTAAATAATTGTACTGATAAGTGATTAAAACATCAGTGGCAACTCTTTTGTTATATAAACAATAATAAGCAAACATGAACAAAAATACCCCTTCTTACCCATAGTATGACTCACTTAACATCTCCTCAACTCTTAACGTCTGAAGAATTCTCATTTCTTGCCTATTTGGCAAGCATAATTTTCATACTGTTATAAATCATATATTCTTTTAAAATTTGTATTATAGCATTGTTTTATATGTCTCTTTACAACAAATCCTTTAATGATTAATATTCTATCAAGTTTATATGCTATAATAATTTAAATACATCTTAACAATTTAGGTGTTTTCAATTTTACCAATCTGATGAACTTGTCTTATGCTGCATTACTTTTTTTCTTTAAGATAAACTCTGTAATGCTTACTACCAAAGGCTACATTTTATTCCTTATTTCTAAAAGTATTATATGAATTATATTTCTTTATACCCTTACTAACATTGGCATTATTATTTTTCAATTTATTGATAAAATAAAAATTTAAAATTATTGAGATTGAAGAACTTTTATGTCATTAATGTCATGTAAAGTTTTATTTTTTATTGTCTTGAAAGGGGTTATAATTATTCCATGAATAGTGATTGATTTTTTTACTTCTGCAAAAGTAAACAAGAGATTATTATATAGTATAGCATGAAGTTGAAGCTATTATATATTGTTTTCCTTAATATTAACATATTTCTTAATCTTTATTACAGTTTTTGGAAGTACTCCATGGCAGTCTTTTATTCTAGCAATAAAACTACCCTTTTTAATGTTTCTTAGGTGCTAGTAATGTTGTACCTTTCAGACATTCCAGGAAACTCTCCATTAACCCCAGCTACCATGGAAAGCATTCCTGGCTTTTGTCAGTGTACTAAATTAGATTATACATTGTTTCATGAGGAAAATGTATTTTGAATGTTATAAAAATAAGGCACAAGCAAACTTTTAGAATGTACCACTTTAAAAGACTTGAGATTTCTTATTTAGTGATTTTACAAGTGGAAACAAATCCTGATATTGGTGACTTTCTACAAAATCCACAGCATTGTCTTTCTTTATGACCAAGTCTTTAAAAAATATTCTCATTTCTTTTCCAGTTTAAGCTCAATCCTCCTGCTGTGGCTTTTGAACTAGATGGGGAGACAGATGACATAATTAAGATGGAACCTAATGGACTCCTGTATTACATCAGAGCCCTGGACAGGGAAACAAGAGCTACTCACAATCTCCAGGTGAGTTGAGACCGACAAAGGGATTGGACTCCAACCTCTACAGCACCCGGGGTCCTACAAACCCCATTGGTACCTTGATTCCCTGTACCCCATTTCAGCTCTCCTAACGATAACTTTGCAAACCTCATGTGAATATTTTTTTTTACCTACTACAGAGAAGCATAAGGCAAAGTGCCCTCTTCCTTGGGGTTTCTTTTTTTTTAAACCAGAGTAACCCAGTTTAGATTCCTAAGACCCTCAGATGGTCTTACTCATTCAAATAAGGCCCTGTTCAGGCACCAGAACCAAATCCAAGCCAGTGCTCGCTGATGCTTTACTGCTGTCTGCCTGTGGCTGTTAAGTGAGCTCTAGACCCTTACTGAAGTCAGTGTCAGGGCTAGGGTGGAGCTCCTCCGGGCCTTGGAAGAAGCAGAAGGAACCAAAGGCCAGAGGCTGACTACAAGACCCTGTAATTTCATGGTTGGTGTCCAAATACCTAAGAATGGCAGAGCTAATGCTAAAGAACAGCAAGCCCACAGCTTCCTGCTCAGCACCTTCTGCACGCTGATCACCATCACGGTTCTGTGATGTACATGGCCCTTCCATAACCTCAAGGGTCAAAGTGCTCAGCCATTTAAAACAGAAGCACGTTCAGTGTCCAGCGCTGTGGAAAAGCTCTGTCATGACGAGCCAGGCTGAATGATTGGACCCCTGCTTTAGCAGTTTGCACTGTAGTCTCTTGTGCGTTCCTCTGCTACAGCCATTAAGCTGTTGGTTCTTTGAACTCTAATTTCCTTCAAGTGACTTCTGGGTGTGTGGTATGAAGTCCAGTCTCGCCAAGGTGGTTTGTTTTCCCTCAACATCAGATTGCAGCCCTGGATGCTCAAGGAGTGACAGTGGAGGGTCCAGTCCCTATCACCATAGAAGTGAAGGACATCAACGACAATCGTCCCATGTTCTCTCAGGAGAAGTATGAAGGCTCAGTGAGGCAGAACTCTCGCCCAGGTGAGAGCGGGGCCTGGAGAGGTTCATGGAGACTGGGAGGGTCTCGGGAGGAGGGGCCAGATTTGTGTGGCTAACAGCTGAGGCGATCACTTATGAAACATTTACTACCTTAAATTTCACAGTGAAGTTCAGAGAGCTGCCTTATTATCTCTAGTGCTGTAGACCAGGGTTTCTCATTTTTGGTACTGCTGATGTCTTGGACCTGATAATTGTGTTTTTGTCAAGGCCTGTCCTGTGCATTGTAGGATATTTAACAGCATCTCTGACCTCTATTTACTAGATGCCAGTGATACCCCTAACCTGAGTTATGACAATAAAAATGTCTTCAGACATTGTCAAGTGTGTGTGTGGGGACCACTGTTCTGTGGTTAACTTCAAAAACCCTAGAGCTCTAGAACACTCTAGAACCATCTGGAAAGTCAAGGCCGCTCTCCCAGTCCAGGCAGGAACCTACATTAGCATAGTCACTGCTAGCTCCTGTTTGTTTTCTTCTCTTATGTTTACCTCTCAGCCGTGGCTTGTCCTTTCTCTATGCTGCACTGACTTTCTAACCTTTGTTTCCACAAAAGCCCTTCATCAAGGCCTACGTGTGCATGGCAGGCACCTCTGATGAGCATCACATCATAACTGCACAGGACAAAAATAAAAATTAGACTTCCAGATTCTCAGAAAGACTCTTACCTATTGTCATCAACTCACCATCAGATATTCCTTTATGATACTCAATCTTTTCCTATTCTTCAGTGCCCACAACTAATAATTCAGGGAGCAATATTCCTTCCACTTTATTATGTGGAACAATTCCACTGTCCCCATCCTTGTCCCTGTGATTGCATACCAAAGACTCTCACTCATAGACTCTGCTGTGTGAAAATTCTGCAGGCCATATTTCTTTCTCTTCACCAATAGAATCTTCTAGAGAAGTGGCTTTCAAACTTATTGGCCTTATGACTCTTAAAGTTTTTTTTGAGTGCTTCAGTGAAATTTTAGTCACATGGGTTATAGCCAGTGATATTATGGTCAAGGTTTAACAATTTTTTTTTTGAGGGGGTGCAGAGCCCTGATTTGTGAATTTCCATCATATAAAAACTCTCATCATGCTTATTTCAAGCTGCCAATGATATAAATAATTTACTCACAAAATTTCTTAAAATTCAAAACTGATTCTCACTACCTGACTCCAGTTCATCACGGGTTATATCTAATACTATTTACACTGCTAGACATTTTAAAAAACTTATTAAATCATGTAAAAAACAAAGAAATATTATAATGAAAACTATATTTTTAAGACAAAAGCAATTTAGTAAAAGTAACAGTGCTGAGAAGAGCACCATCATTTTAATCTTTGCAAATTTAATGTCTGGCCAGGGATTTAGCTTAGTGGTGCAGCGCCTGGCAAACGTGAGGTTCTGAGTTCAATTCCTGGTAACCCTCCAACAAAAAAATCAATATCTGGATAAAGGGAAAACAATTGTGTTATTTCTGTTTCTACATTTATTCCACTGCTATATGCTATTTTCGTTGAAGCAGTACCTGGATAAAAATTAGTCTCATACAGGCATGTAGTTGGAAAGGAGAGGAACATTTTAAAAGTATATTCAGATTGTGGATTTTTTTGATATGATACCAAAACTTGAAAATCTTAAAGATTCATTGCAATGCAGAATCAGAAACTCGCTCAATAACATATTTCTTATTCCTTAATACGAAACTTCACTAAGTTACCTTGTGCTTTGAAGGAATCGTCTACATATACATGCTCTTTAACTTTATAGACACCTTGAAATAGACTCCAAGACTCCGAGAGGTCTTTTGACCATACTTTGAGAAACTGTATTCTAGGGGAGGGGAGAAGAATTAAGATTCATTTTTTATGATATGAATCCATAGCATCTTCCCCCATTGGATCTCTGCTTCTTAGAAGGCAAAAGTGGTTACAGTAGGTCTGGTTTTCAACTGTCTTTTTTGTTTTGTTTTCTGGTTATGTTTTGTTAAACAGGAAAGCCATTTATGTATGTCAATGCTACAGACCTGGATGACCCAGCCACTCCTAACGGCCAGCTTTTTTATCAAATTGTCATCCAGCTCCCCAAGATCGACAATGTTATGTACTTTCAGATCAACAACAAAACAGGAGAAATATCCCTTACCCAACAAGGTAAGTTAAGGGATTCACATGAAACTGGGCCAGAGAAAGAGACAGGTCTGTCCCTTCCGGAGACATTGCATTTCCTCTTGTTTCCCATAGGGGCGCAGGAACTGGATCCTGTGAAGAATCCTTCCTACAATCTGGTGGTCTCAGTGAAGGACATGGGAGGCGAGAGTGAGAATTCCTTCAGTGATACTGTGTCTGTGGATATTACCGTGAAGGAGAATATTTGGAAAGCCCCAGACACTGTGGAGATTATAGAAAACTCAACTGATCCTCACCCCGTGAAAATTACCCAGGTAGTACCCAAGTAGCCCCTAGAACCTACAAGATAAGTAGCCTCACTTTGTAGACACCTACCCTCATGTTCTTCACAAACACGTTTGTATTGTGTCACATAATTATAAAGCAAATGAAGCAATCTCTGGCCCCAAGTCTCTGGAGTTCATCCTTGTGCAAAGAAAACTTGGATTCAGATACATATTTGAACTTGCAGAGAGAATTTCTCCCATGCTCACCTTAAAAGTAGACAGCAGGGATGTTTGTAGTCCACTGTTGGTGGTGGGGTCATGGCTGCTTTAGTGAGTTATCTAGGTTACCTACATCGTATACATGGTTTGAATTTAGCAATGCAAATATTCTTTAGAAGGTGCTACCTAATCTTGTGGGGGAAGGTCTGGACCCAATAGACTCATGCTAGCAGAAGCTCTGAGGTAGACAGAGAGGTCTGGCCGAGGGTAAGAGTCATAGCGGGCAATCTTTCCCCTTGAAGAGTGCACTACCCCATCTTCTGTATGCACCTCTCCTTTTCATCCAAATGGCCTTTCTTCCCCTCCACAGAGGGTACTCTCACCAGGAGCCCTCCTACCTTAGCTTCTAGAAGTCCAGCCTGGATCCTATCGACATCTGATCTTTTCTGGAAACTCAGGGGTTTCTTGTAACACTGTGGAGTAGTGCGAGAACCTAGGTTTGGAAGCAGACAAATGAAACCAAGTTCCCATTACTTTAATGACTGATAATAAACAGTGTAACTGTTCTGAGCCTCAATTTCTCATTAGTAAAATGGAGATTATAAGACTTCTCAGAGTTATTGTGAAGAGTCATTGGCATAGTGTCTGTGAAAGTGAATAAAAGTTGTTAATTTTAAAAAGGACTCAGTTGGGGCTGGGGATTTAGCTCAGCGGCAAAAGCGCCTGCCTGGCAAGCGCAAGGTCGTGAGTTCGGTTCCCGGTACCGGAGAAAAACAAAAACAAAAACAAAAAAGGACTCAATTTGTAGTTCCCTAAGATGTTTTTAAAAATGATGCTATTGTTGCTAACAGGCCTTGAGTGGCCCATCCTATTATATCTATTGTCTGACCTAAGGAGACTTTCATTTAATGAATGTTGAATTAATGAATATCACATTTTGGCAAGAAAAAGGAAAATAAAGAGGGATTTTGTTTTGGCAACTAAGCAAGTATGCCAGTACACATTACCATGAGGCTTTCAAATTTAGATCCTGGATGGAAGCCTTTCTGTTCACTATTCAGATTATCCTTATAGACATTCATAAGTGTTAGAACTCATATGCTTAGTTCTTGGGGCTGCCAAAGAAAGGAAATCCCAGGGACCTACGCCCAGTTTTGAGGCCTGGAGAAAGTGCTTTAGGTGTTCTGAAACCCATGGACAAGAGTGATGTAGCGCAGCTCAGAGAATTAGAATGTAGGCTGAATTGTAGGACATAGGCTGAGCTTACTTTCAAATCGGGAACATAATCTTAAGTATTGACTTTGGGTGGTGCTTACATAACTGGCAAGGGACAAAATTTCCACCTAGCCTAAGAGAATGGTTTCATGTGGAAATTTCAACTAGCACTAGGATCTTGGACAAGAATTTAAGTTTTTGTGCTCCAGTTTCCTCATCTATAAAATTGAGCTGTCAGTAGCTTCCATTTCATAGGGCTATTTGAAAGTTAAATGAGATCATTCATAAAAGTATTTAGAATTGTGTATGACATTTAGTAATTCTTCCATGAGTATCATTATTAATAATGTAAAATATACACTATTAATAGGTTAGAATATCAGAGAAGCCAGGGTCTGTCCAAAAAGTTAACTGCTCTTACTAAGGGTTTGTTTTCATTTTTAAAAATTAGGTCAATTTAAAAACAACTGTAGGAGTTTACAGTTACTCTACTCCCTGAAGACTGTAAGAATAAATATTTAGGGAGGACTGTGTCCTATTTATGTAGCATTTATCTTTAATCACATGGAGAAGAGTTTAACATGTCTCATACCATTCTTACTCATCTGCAGTGGTCAGTTTTGGAAGCTTCTCATACATCATGGCTTAGTCCTCAGATAACGCTAGTGACCAAGTACACTTTGTTTCTGAACTTGATGTTTCATGAATATGAAGCTTTCACCATCATCCTTGTGAAAGAAAATAGCCCACAGAGTCTTTAGGGGGTGGTTCATAAAGAATTGCTTGCTGGGGATATAGCTTAGCGGCACAGTGCCTGCCTAGCAAGCGTGAGGTTGTAAGTTGGACTCCTGGTACCAAGACAACAACAAAAACATAAATAATTGCTTTAGAGAAGAAAAATCCCTTGGTTTGCTTTTTGTGCAGCAGAGTTTTTTTAATGTCTTATCTTAGGTTGCAAGTGAAAAATGTAGCTCAATTGTTATAAGAATACACTGACGTCCAAAGGCATTGCCAACTGAGAACCAGGTCTCTCATATCCCTTTGTCTTTCCTCATTGTTCGTTTTTGGCCCTGCAGGTGCAGTGGAATGAACCGGGTGCACAGTATTCCTTAGTTGAAAAGGAGAAGCTTCCAAAATTCCCCTTTTCAATTGACCAGGAAGGACATATTTATGTGACTCAGCCCCTGGACCGAGAAGAAAAGGATTCGGTAAGTAAAACAGAAGAGTTTGACAGGCAGCAAGATAGAGGTCTATATCCTCTTACAGTTGAGAGCGAAATCAATTTTACTTAAGAAAAAATCTGTGTTCCAGACTCCACTATATTATTGGATCTCAAAGACATGACAATTTGATCATATGGCCACCACTCTGAGCCACTGTTTTTCATCTCCCAGTTCTAAGTAAACTGAGAATAAAGTGGGGCAGAGGATAACCTAGAAATGAAACAGCAATTTTCTCTACCTTTTAAGGGGGACAATGAAGGAGTCTTGTCTCAACTTTGACCTTCCTGTTGTAGCACGTTTTTTATGCAGTTGCAAAGGACGAGTATGGAAAACCACTTTCACACCCGCTGCAAATTCACGTGAAAGTTAAAGACATTAATGACAACCCACCGTCCTGTCCATCTGCAGTGACTGTATTTGAGATCCAGGAGAATGAAGCCTTGGGTAAGAAATGAGAGCTGTTGAATTCTGTGTAGCTGTCCTCCCTGTGTCAACTCTGTGACTCCTTTCCACTGTCTGTTGGGCAGAAGGTGGACAGGGAAACCTAATCGTGGCCAGTTGTCCACGTCTGGGACAGCACAGAGATTGAACATATCATGAGAGCATGTAGGTAGAACATCTTTGGTTTAAACTGTATCTGGGTAGCATTCTTAAATTGGAGCTTTTATAACTACTATCACCACTAGTTGTTATAACTTCTATTATTAACACCACTATACCCTTATCATTATTGCTAGTACCATAACCACCCCACCATTCTCCTGCATAGATACATTGAGGCATTTCATTGGCAGAGTTTTCCCATAAATCATCTTATTTGACCTCTACTTAAACTAACTTCAAAGAGATAAAATTTACTAAATAAACACTAACTCACAGTACTGATAAGAGTTGGATTTGACCTTTGAGACTGCCTAGTCTCTAGGAAACTGATAATAATGCAAGAGGCTTGTGGATAAAGTTAAGTCCATCTATTTTTATCTTTTTTTTTTACTTTTTAAAAAATTATATCTCATTATAACCTCAAGTTTTATATTAGAACTTGTATAGCTACTATATAGTGTTTGTATATACTTGTACAGCTTTTGTATAGCTACTATAAGGACATACTGATTTCTGGGAATCTTATGGCTTTCTTGGATTTGGGGAAACTCTTGCTTGTTTCCCTCTCGTACTTGATCCCATTGACTAAGCTGGCTGGATTTCTTAAAGTGTTTTGGTCTATTTGCCATGTAAGTTTCTGAGGCTTACAAGCATAGCAGCGTCTTGGGACTATCATCTCTAGGGCTTTGCTCCCTTGTGGTGAGATTCTTATATTCCTTATGCACATTCGCATCATTCTTTTGACCTCTTTCCTCTTCTTGCTACACACCTTTGACAAGGTAGCTACTTTCCTGGTGGCCTAGAGGGTGTGCTGGGAGTGACTTTCTTGCTCTATGACCATTCTTTTCCTTTGTGTTGTCAGGTGTCCTACAGAGGTTACTTATTGTTAGTGCATTTTTCTCATTTTTCTGTTTCATTTATTCCAATTTTTCGCTTCAACAAGAAGAGTTAAATGGTAGGTTTGGAGGATTTGGTAAATTGAAAGGAAGACTTTGTCATGGTGACAACTGTGTAATAATGTGATGCATAACAACAGCCAACAAACACTTGTGACATCATCCTTTATGGAAATCAGGGATGGTTTGATGCTGAATGAAGATGTGAAAGCTTTGAAAACCTTTCTAGACAATACCTCAAGTCTATTGCATTGGACCAAGAATATAATGTTTGTTATCTGTATATAAGAAATTGCTCCCAAACTTAGTAGCTTAAAATAACAAACATTAATTATAGCTTTGTGAGTCAAGAATCTGGATACCTTGCAGCTATATGCCTCTGATTCAGAAACACACACATACAGACCCAGAGAAGAAGAGGGAGAGGGAGGGAATATGAACAACAAGTGAGTTATAGTCTCTGTATAACCTAATCTTGGAAATGTTAGCCCATATTCTATTCATCAGGATGAAGTCATAAGGCTCAGCACCTGCTCAGAGAAGGATTTCATGAAGAGTTACAACTCTTGGCAAACGAGGAGTATTGGGAGCCATTTTGGAGGCTGCCCATCTCTTTGGGAAGAAGATAGCACTCATTTTCTGAGACTGATAAAGAAGTCATTGTTGATACAATAAATAGTTCAGGGGCTCAGCATGCTTCTTGCTTCTTTTTAAAAGTGAGAATTTATTGTTAAATACTTCACAAAGTCTTTAATCGACTGAAAATTCTTATAAAGCAATGAAATATATTCTGTATGTGTGGCTTAAAAGAGGGACAGGACAAATCCCCTGCACTTTGGAGGTTCACTGTTTAGATGTCAAGTCATGCTGAGGTGAAAATGCTGGAAATAAGATACTAACTCACTTCTCTTTTCTTTACACTTTCTTATTTAGTCTTTCACCATCCAGTGGCTTGTGGGACTTCTTCCAAGTCTTAGCAATACCAATATTAATTTTTAAATCTCACTTTCTGGAAATTTGGCTTTCATGGCATCCTCACCTCCCTAAAATATTCCTGGATGCCCCCCAAAAATGCTGCACAGGCTCCTGAATCAGCTTGGGCTGTCACTCGTTCCTGCCTCAGGCAGTCAGAGATATGGTCCTTCCTTCACTTGGGGTTCATGCGCAGATTCCTCTTGTTCCCACCGGGAGATGTCCCCTGATGCCAGCCATCCTCATAGTGCCTCCAATGGCTGGAAGCTTCCTGTGGAGGGAGAGGAAGGTGCCCTCAGTTGTTATGTCCACTTGCTAAGGGAAAGCATCCAAAGCAGGGCTACTCAGACACCAAAGGATCACAGATTTCAGCAGAGCACTCTTCATCCCACCATTTGCACTTCTCTGACAAGGACAGATGCATGTCACAATGGTAACCAAGTTGTAATGGATTTAGAAATGAGCAGCGACACACTAGACACATATTCTTTCTGTTGTGTTGCTCCTGATGCCCCTGAACCCAGTCCACGAGACACACCAGTATGAGTCCAGCTCCACTGTAGGCATAATACAGGGACTTCCCTTCCCCACTCCCCCAAGCCAAAACCCACTAAGAGTCCACCTAAGCCAGTGGAGGCAAACTCATCTGGCAGAGGCATGTACCTAAGTCCACAATGAGATGAATTCAAGTCTTAGCTCTGGTGGGAGTGTTGCTGTATGTAAGGAAATCCACAAATTCCCATTTCAAGGAACAGGTAGTTTAACACCTACCAGAACTCACTCAGAGCTAACAGAGCACAGAGTCACCCCTGACTTCTGGAGCTGCCTGGGACTGAAACATTCACAGGAATATAGTTCCTAGAGCTGTGAGCTGCAGTGCAAGGGCAGGGGGTGGAGGGGCCATGCCTGTTCTTTGCCCTGTGTTATCTTTGGGGTGGGGTCAGTCTCTGCCATTGTTCCATAAAGTTGGTTAGAGGCAAACCAGGGTTGGCTTCCCCTTATTGGATTATACTCTTTGCCATGTGTACTTGTGTCCTAAGGGTGCCGTAAGGAATTACCACAGACACGGTTCCTTAAAACAACAACGACAAGTTAGTCTCTCTCTGTTCTGGAGGCTGAGAGTCTGAAATTCAGGGACCAGAGCCTCCGGAGGAGAATCCATTGCCTCTTCTGATTCTGTTGGCTGCTGGCAGAAGCACAATTCCAGTATCTGGCCTCTTCCACATCGTCTCTGCTTCTGTGTGTGTCAGGGTCCCCACTCTTATAAGGATCCAAGGGCTCCCCTAAACCAGGGTGATTTCATTACCATAACCTTAACTAGTTACATGTACAATGAACCTCTTTCCAAATAAAGTTCCATACTGAGGTTTTAGGTGGACGAGAACTTTTGCAGGGCGCTCTGGCCCATATTATATCCCTCTCTATGTTTTGAAGTCCAAACCCTCTGTGTGTGGTGAATTGTGCCACCCCTTCAGGCAGTGGAGTTCTAACCCCAAGTACCTCAAAGCGTGGCTATGTTTGGAGTTTGGGTCTTTAAAGAAGGAATTAAGGTAAAATGAGGTCCTTACAGTGGGCCCTAAATCCAACATGACTGGTGTCCTCCGAAGAGGAAATTTGGACACAGAGAACATGATACGAAGTCATAGGGAGAAGAACATACACAAGCAAGGGAAAAAGGCCTCAGAGGAAACAGCCTTGTCAGCTCCCAGCTTCCAGAATGATGTGAAAATAAATTTCTGTTGTTTTAACCACCAGTCCAGGACACTATTTGATAGCCCTGGATAATGAATGCACAGTAGTAATTAACAAATCACACCATGGAGTGAAAAATAAATGTAAAAGCCATTGTTTGCATGTAAGATTACTTAGTGCTTTTTGGGAACCTGCTTACTGAGTGAATCCAATTAAAAATAGATGACATGGGGTCTGTAGAAATGGATTTTCTTCTTTTCTTCTCCATAGGGAGCAGTATCGGGGTCTTTACTGCCCATGACCTGGATGAAGTAAACACCATCAACAGTATCTTACAGTATAAAATTGTGGAGCAAACCCCCAAAATTCCCGTGGATGGACTCTTTCTGGTTGAAGAATATGAGGGAAAGATCCAGTTAGCTAGACAGTCCTTGAAGAAGCAAGATGCTCCTCAGTACAACTTAACAGTGGAGGTGTCTGACAAAGGTTGGTATCACACATGTAGTCATGGTTACAAATCATTGTTTGTTTTCTAATTATGATGCACTGGGTTCCTCAGGCCTGGATACATTCAGACTCTGCCATCTTTGCTTCCTTTGTGAAATACATGCTGTCTAGAGTAGTAACTCAGACAACATTGTTGAGTTTTTCTGGGTCTTCCAAGAAGCAGATGCCAGGAGGAGATTAAATGTACATCTCCAGGGGATGCCTTGGGAGGAGGGGGGATGGACACAGCAGTAGAAGCCTGATCCTAAGGGAGGGAGAGAGGGAGGAAGGAGTGCCCTAGATCGTCAGGCAGTCTAAGGAAAGCTCACTGTGGCTGTCTGGGAATACATTACCTCCAAGAATGTGTCCACCTTAGCATCACCACCCTGTGCAGTAGCTGGCTCGGGGCAGCCCATGCAAAGGAAGCCTTGGTGCAAATCCACTGTTGAATTTCACAGCACAGCACTGGGGCATCCTTGATTAATATCCTAGTTGTCACAAGTCTGCTCGGCATGTTCTGGTAGTCACTGTGGTCACAGACAGGAAAATTAATTGCATTTCCCAACTCTTGCTTTCAGGCTCAAACAGCCTTCCCTATGGAAGTCGGGGAGAAATGTACCTTGGGGGAAGGTCTGACGCCTTCCGTCAGATTAGCTGGCCTTTTGACAACATTGGGAAACATTCTCCCCTACTTCTTGCCCACTTCTAAAACAGTTGGTTCTTAATCTGTGTTGGGTCACAAGACCCTTTGGGAATCTGATGAAAACTGTGCATTCTGAAACACATGCATGTAATCTTAGACAAATGTGCACAGACACATAAAAATAAATTTATTCAGAGAGAGGCTCATTTGGGGGCACGTAGATGCCTAGGAGGTTAAGCATCTTTCTTTGAGTTAACTTAGATTACTAAACAAGTCAGTAATTGCTATGCTGGGGAGCACAGGTTACACAGGCATGGGGTGGGGGAGAAAGCATCTTTCCACACTTTGCATCACACTTCTCTCCCTTCTGTGGATGTTAATATATCGGGGGAATTAGATTTTAGCAAACTGCCAGTGCAGAATGTCGAAATTCTCTAATCTGGCAAATATTGAGGGTGTAATGTTTGTTTAACATTATAGTGAGGTACAGCAGTGGAGGGTATAATAGATCATGTCTGTCCATGATGAACTGAGTTTCACACTATTAGCTGGCCATTCTTTCAGCAGTTACAGAACATTTACCTTGTTTGACATCCCCAGCAAGGCATTAGAGGTACACAGATGAATAAGACCCAGAGTCAGTCCTCAAGGAGTGCTTGCTGTGGTAGAGAAGATAGACATATGAATTAGTAAATTGCAAGGAATAGGTCCAAGGTAGCCCATGAAAGAAATGAGGGAGGTGGAGGGATAGAGCAGGTAAGACTTTCTGGAAGAAGTCTCACTGTGCTGAGTTTTGCAGGGTGAATATGATGAGTTGTAAAATTATGTAGGTCTTGTGGAAGAATGGAAATTCCATGTGCAAAAACACTGGGATGTGAAGGAGTTTGAAGTTATAAGCATGTAATGTGAGAATCAGATTATAAGTTGTTCATGTGTGTGAGTATAGAAAACATACTGTACTCACATACTACTTGTACACATATATAAATATGTGTGTTGATGGATTAAGCATTCAGTTTTCTACTACAGAAAATTAGAGAGCAGACTATAATTAACATAGTTTTACATAAAATTAAGAAAAGGCCTGTTAAGTAGGAGGCCCATGCCTGGCCCAAACAAGGTATTTGCAGAGTAATGAGCTAGTGAGTTTGGGCCCTAGGTATGAGTCAGTTTTCCTGTTGCTGGGGTATAATACACAACCACAACCTATAGGAGGGGAGGTTTAACTTAGCTCACAGTTTCAAGGGTTTCAGTTCACAGTCAGTCAGGCTCAAAGGCAGATATGTCATGGCAGAAGGGTGTAGTAGGGCGAAGCTGCTTACTTTATGGTGGCCAGGAAGCCGAGCAGACCAGTGCCAGAGAAGAAAGGGTGAGGGAGCAGACATAGACCTGAGGGTCATGCCTCCACAAGCCACTCAGACACACCGGGAATGTGCCTTACTAATCACGTAGGCAGCTTTCAAGACAATCAAGTTGACAAACTTAACTGTCACATCCTGGGAGGACCCCATTCTTATGTACAGATGTCCTGGGGACCAGTCACAACTTTAGTCAATATCTGCTTGTTTATACTGAAACTATCATTAGATTACATCTGGCCTCATGTTTGGTACATTGAGCAGAAGCTGTAGAGTTCGATTACCTGGTTGTATTAGTCCGGATCCCAGCCGGAAATTGGATGGCCTCTCAAAAGCGGTGACCAAAAGGAGAGGCAGGGGGATCACAAGTTGGAGCCAAGTTTGGGTGACTTAGGAAAAACTTGCCTCAAAAAAAAAAAAGGCTATAGATGTAGCTTGGCACAAAGCCCTGAATCCAATCCCCAATACCTCCAAAAACAAACAAATGAGGATGTGTAAAGGTCATGGCAGGGTCAAGGGAAACCAACAAGGAGGTGTGAAGCAGAGTGCGCAGCTTTTACTATCTGAAGCCTGAGATAGCAAGACCTGTGCCAGTAGCCAGTTAGGAAGGGGACCCTGGCCACTTTCCTCATCCTCTTCCTCTAGTCTCCTGCCAGGCTGCCAACTGCAGAACCAGCTGTTACCACTGACGCCATTAACAAGGTCAGTCCCTGGGCCACAGGGGAAGTTGAAGAGCAGAGAGTAGATGGGAGGGCAAAAGGAATGCACATATCTCTATCCTGGACCCACCATTAGACAGCTGTGTTCCCCTGGGCGGGTTACTTAACTTCTCTACCTCTTGGCTCTCTTATTTAAATAAAGGGGAATGGAAGATAAAATGCAGGTAATACACTTAGTATAGTGCCTGGGACACAGACAATATGAATAGTTTGTATTATGATGAAAGTCTCTGTTCTGTTACTTTCCATGTCTTATGGATAAGCTGACCAAGATACTGAGACATTGCATGATACTTCAACTTCTTATATCTCTGATGACAGGCAGAGCCAGAATTGAAACTATGGGATCCCAGACCCCATAATCTTAACCATTGCACAATGCAGCATGTTGTGTTTGAATGATGTCGATCCCAACAAAGACTGTGTCATTTGTTTCTTGTTCTGGGTCCCTTTCCAGGCACTCCATTCTCAAATGGATCTGAGATCAATGTGTCTCTAAGTCTCTGGACCGTCAGACCCACTGTGCAAAGCCTGTGCCATTCCCCGGGGTTCCATGAGCTGTCTTTTTAGCTGCCCTTGGAGGAGGCCAACTGTACCACACCTCCATCACTCAGAAGAGAGGGAGCAGGGGCCCTTCAGCCTCTCCACTGTAGAGGGAAGATGTGTTTGCATGAGGAAAGTCAGCCCTTGGGCTGTTCAGGAGGGCTTTCTGGAAGGACAGTTTTGCAGTGGACTTTAATGACTGTGTAAGGTTCAGAGAAGGGAGGCTGCTTCACACAGAAGGGAACAGCCTTCCCTCGGACAGGGCAGGTGTAGGGCAACGGGGAATCCAGAAAACTTCCCTCGGTCTCTCTTCATCTCATACCTCCCTTTAGGCGACCTGACTGTGAGGGCAGGAGGGGAGCAGAGAATCCCCTCCCCAGAGAGACTGCATGAAGTTGTGATATGGCTGTCACTTCACTTGCCAATTTTTCCTTACAGATTTCTAATTTTAACGCATGATTTATAGTGAACATTTCTGATATAACTTTGGTTTTCAGATTTCAAGACCCTCTGTGCTGTAGCAATCAATGTTATTGATATCAACGATCAGATTCCCATCTTTGAAAAATCAGATGTGAGTAGTTTTCACCATTTGTTTTTTTCTGTACTTTGTTCATATTACTCAAACCTTAATTCTGGGGCAAAAAATAGACAATTGTGAAGAAAAATGCCAGACATGACAGGTAGCCTTGGTCAGCGATCCAGCAACAAACCCAGACACCATCTTTAGTGGAAATCTTCAGGGAACAATAACATTCACCGTTATAGTGTGTTTATAAACTCCTGCCAACAGCTCATTTATCCCAAGGACTGCTTAAAAGCTACAACCATATCTTTATCAAATTGAACAAATCTGAGTCGCTGTGTATAGCTTCTCATTATAGACTTTGTGTATAGATTACTGCTAGATCTCGAACATTTAGAGTCAAATATTTAATATTTGGATCATTGGCAACTTTAACTCATTTTGTAATTAACTGGATAAGAAGGAAAATGAGCTTCTTGTTTAAGCTGAAGACAAAATATTCTGAAGACATTTGCAAGAATTAGGAGATTAGACATAAGGAGAAAATGAATTTAGGACATCAAGTATACAAATTCCTGTTTTCTTGTTGTTAATACAAGCTTTAGACTTGGTGATGGCTTTTTCACTGCTTCCACTAAAAGGGACGTCTAGCTTTATTTAGTTTGAAGGAGAGAGAAGCCCATTTGACTGGATTGTTTTGTCATGTTTGAAGGCAGTGATGAGGCAGCCTCAAGCCCTCTGATGATGTTCATAAATCAAAATAGTAACAAGGCTGTGACAAAGAAGGGCACTGATTTATGGTCAGGCTCAGAAAAGTAGGAGGTGTGACTGAACCTATCTTGTATAATAGGGACTGAGGTTAAGCAAGTGTGAAATAAAGACTCCACCACTTCTCAGCCTCCATTCTCTTGGGCATTTTCTCTCTACCCAGTGTTGTGATCTCCTTGCATCTAGACAGAGTTTTTAGATTGAGGGTAGGAATCCTGCTTTGGAATCTCAGAGCTTAGAAATACAAATGGAGCTATAGCAACCCAAAGCCTGCCTCAGGTACTGCAGTGGTCCTCGCCTGGGCCCAGTTACCATCGTGAAGATCACACACCAGGAGAGAGGACCTGGGGGATTTTCAGGGGAGTGGCAGATGCTGTAGGTCATGATTAAGAGCACAACTTTGGAGTTGGACACGCATTCGAATGTCAATTCTATGACTCACTAGCAGTGTCATCCTGGGTGAGCTTAACCTTGCCTGCTTTCTTCCCCTGTTAAATGGAGAGGGTGTACAATATGGCTATTCAATACAGTGTCTTATTTCTTATCTTTATTGAGCACTGACTATAGACCAGGCATGTAGGGCTTTCTATGCATTACTATCTCTCTTAATCCCCAAAGCAAATAGGAAGTAGGTTCTTTTATCTCTATTAACCAATGATTAAGCTGGCACTTAAAGAAGTAAGGTAACTTGCTTCAGGTCACTCAACTGATAAATGGCACTGTTAGCACTCGTACCAGCTCTTTGACCCCACTGTTCAAGCTCCTAACCTCTATCCCTTTTTAAGAATTAATTAAAATAATTTATGTAGAGTGCCTGTAGCATGGTAGATACTTAATACATTATAGCTATTTTTTATATCATTAAAGTATAATAGTTATAGCTATTAAACATATTAGATATGGGAGGGGAAATCCTACCAATAAATCTCTGAGATGTGTGTTCCTCTGTACCAGGGAATTTAGTTCATGACTATGACTGATGTTAAGATCAAATACACCATATTCATAAGTAGGTAAGATATACTTGGTAAATATTGATGCAGACTATAACCGTGTCCATTCTGGAACAAGTGTACCCTGTGGCAGTTCTGCTTGATGACAGTGGACATTCTCATTGTGTCCCTCCCGTTTCCTCCTCAGTATGGAAGCCTGACTCTTCCTGAAGACACAGCTGTTGGGTCCAACATCTTAATCATCAGAGCCACAGATGCCGATGAGCCATTTACTGGGAGTTCTAAAATCGTGTACCAGATTATACAGGGAGACAAGGAGGGAAGACTGGGGATTGACACAGATCTCCATACCAATGCAGGATATGTCACAATTAAGAAGGTAAATAGCCCATTAAATGAACTTCTCTTTTTGGTGGATTAATTTATTTATGATTATGCGAGGACCTATAAATAGTACTAGAAATGATCTCTCAGGCATGGCGGTGGCCTCTTTGTGCACTCTGTCATCCCTATCCACCTGACAGAAAGTCAGGGTTCTGGTCCTAGTCTGTCACTAATTAGTCAAATAATTTTACAGCGAGATAAGATTGCCCGATAAAATACAGGCTAAGTTTTTGGTATCATATATGTTCCATACAATAATTGAGACCTATACCAAAAGTTGTTTATCTGAAGTTCAAATATAAGTAGGTATTCTATTTTAATTTGCTAAATCTAGCAAGCTTGGTGGAGGGTGGGGCAGGCCTTAGGGCATCACTTTCCCCTTCGCAAATATGGAGGAGTTCAGGTGGATGAACCATATGGGTCCTAGGAAGTTAATTCTTTATGCCCAGCCTATAGACTCTTCTTGAATAGTGACTGGAAATTGTTGGATTGCCTTTCAAGGCTTGATAGATAAGTTTATCCTGTATCCTTCCCCCTTACTTTTACCTTTTACAGCATTGCTAAATCCATTGGCTCTTGCTTTGTCGCTCCGTCTTTAAGGACAAGGTACCCTGGAACCAAAGCATTAATTCATAGTTCCCATTTCTTTTCACAGGATCCTACTAGCCCCTCCTCAACCATGTCTGTCCCGCAGGTACACACGCGAGCCTTGACTTTTTTCTCTGTAGCTGCTTCACTTGTATTAGAGTGTGTACAAGGTTTACCAGATGACTCATTTGTCATCTAGCATATTTCAGAGTTTGAATACCTTCCTTGGGGAGAGAGTGAAACCTTCTAGTTAGAAAGGGCCAGAGATGGTACAGCAGTAGAGAATCTGCATATGTCGTTAACTGCAGAAGGATTGCAGTGCAGTGAGCTGGAGGCTGCAAAGGAAGATTCTGGAGGACAACTTTGAGCCACAATACAGGAAGCTGAGGCTAAAAGTGAAGACAAAAATGAAAGAATTCCACAGGGAGTGGACAAAAGCAAAGGGGCAAAAGTGCTTGTGTTCAGGATCTTGGAGTATGGTCACTCTGTTGCTGTATAGCTCTTCTGGTGCAGAGGTCTCCTTGGGCTTCAGCCGAGAGGTCTGTGTGTGCACCACCTCAAAGCACAGCATTCTGTGTGAGTCTCACTGCACGGACTGTGAGAACATCAGAAGTAAAGGATAAGGGTAGGGTAGATTTCAGAGTTTGCGGTGGGTGGCCAGGCACCATGCTGGCATGTTATGTTTTATACTGGGTGGAGACAGCTTTCTTCCATTCTCCCCCAGGATCAGAGCTGTCGAGGACTCAAAGGAAAGACAGGCTCAGCCATCCCACTGACGATGGCTCCCACAACAATGCTGACATTTTTTAATAGTTGCTTATTATGAACCAATTTAAACTAATTTGGCCACTTGTGAATGGACACTTACTAGGTATGATCAAAACATATGGTGAGTGTTTAAATTTTAAAAAATTATTACAGGATTTGAAGATAACAATATGCAATGGAATTACCATGGTGAATTCCTACCATCTTGGCTAGTGAAACTCTGTATTATTTCTAATGTTTTATCTAATAATTATTTTCTTTTTCTCTTTAATGGTTTGAACAATCTTTCATTCTTACATCTGGTAATCTGAACAATGTAGTTGAGGATAGCGATATGTAATATAGCAACCACTGTTAAATCGTATTGTTTTGTCGTGAAACCCTGTTTCATTTTAAATGTTCTTGCTTTGGTTTGTTTATGTTTGTGATGCTGGTATACTGCTATTGTTCTTTTTTTTCTCATTTACTACTTTCTTTAAAATAAAATTAAAAAAAAGAAAAAAGATCTCATCAATAATAGAAAAATAAAAATAAAAATATTACATCATGTTAAAAAATTATTACAGGAAAAGATACATCCCATTAGTGCCCCTCAAAATACAGGGAGTATTTTCCACTAGGATGGAGAGGGCCAAGCGTGCATGATTCAAAAGTCAAATGGTGATTGCTTGGACCTGCTGCTTCAGCCCCTGGGGAGAGCCTGGAACCCCAGAATTTTGACAGATGCCCCAAAAGGTATTCCAGATTAAACAAATTGTGGGAATTCTGCCCGTTCTGCTTGTTACCAGCCAGCCCTGGCCTGCTGTGAGGCAGACTGGGACTCTTGAGGTTACATGCTGTTGGTCATGACCAGGAAAGTGGTTTCTTTGAATCTTGCCTTGGCTCATCAGTTTCTCTCCTATGACTCCCTTTCTTGCAGTTCAGAGTTTTGGTTTTCATTTCTTTAGTGCAGATTTTTCCTTTCTAAATTCTGGGTTCATGATTTTTTTTTTTAACCAGCTTGAGCATCACCTAGAACACTGCACATTTTCTTCTCTCAGTCTTGGTGAAAAGCCTCCAGGTTGAATCAAAATCACTGGTTTGACCTTTGAGGCACTAGTGTGCAGAAGAGAAATCGAGACCAGGGCAACCTGCTGCCTCTCAAGAGGCCAAGCTAAGTCTTGATGGTGTGTGGCATGAAAGACCACATGCATGGTTCCATAGGCCTTGGCCTTGATCCAGCTTTGCTGCTTATGCTTTGCTAAATTATCCTGGCAGGTTCGGTTGGGAGGTGGTCAGGTGTGGAAGTGCAGCGAACAGAGCATTCAATGGCAGGCTGCTCCTTTGTCACTTGTTCTTTGATTCAGTGTCTTTAAGGGGCACTGACATGGTCTCCTGCATGGGCTCCCTACCTGGTTTGGATCACCCTAAGTCCATGTCTCATATGGCGGCTCCCTCTTCTTTTTCTCCTCTTTTTACTTCTCTTTCTCTTCCTCCTCCTCCTTTTCCCCTCCTTCTCTCCTTCTCCTGTTCTGGTAATACAGGTAGCTTTTCCCTTTCTTGAAATATCACACTTCCACAAATATAATGCCTCATTTCTCCTTTCTTTACCCTTTGCTCCTGGGGCCACAGTGATGGGATGGAAACGCATGGCAGGCAGGAGACTTGGGCCTGTTGCTGTGCGGATGGATGGGCCTCCTCTGCCTAAGCTCTCACACACACCTGCGCTGTCTGCCTGATCCTGGGCTTGACTGGACTAGCAAGGAACAGAGAGCTACATCTTTGCTCCACATTGTAGGCTGGCAGATGAAGTTCTAGGAGCCACTGTCTTATTCTGGGTCTACCAGACTTTTATCCCAGTTGGGCACCATTGTTCCCATCCCTGAGATGGAGAGTGAGTCCCAGGAGAGCCCTGGTGCGAGCCCTATCAGACCCTGTCTAGTGATCAAGAGGGCATCAAGGGGCCGTGCCCTGCAGACCATGGGCACTCATCTCTATGAACAGTGTTTCCCTTCATGTCTTACCAGGCTTGCAAAGTTGTACATCTGTATATTTGAACAAATGTCAATGTTTTTTCCTATTCTAGCTCAAATAACCATAAGCTACATAATTCTCAGTCTTCCACAGAAAAATCTTCCCGTTGGACTTGTGAATTAGTGATGCAGTTGTGATGTTGTGATGTGTTTGTGTGTACATGGAGAAAGGGTGTGAACTCCAGAATCTCCTACCCACTGGCACCCTCAAGAACCAAGCCTTCCTTATCTTTGCATTTCCTGACCATGTGCTGTGGGGACTGCATGCCAGGGTTAGAGATGGGAAGTGAAATTGAACAAGTCAGTGTTCCCTCTCGTGGAGCTGGTGAGCAGGGAGGATCCAAAGTAAACAGCCAAACAGCCAAACAGGGTCCTGGTGAGGGCCTTCGGGTTGCAGAGGACATGAAGCTCATTCATTTGGGGTTAGAGGGTGGGGTCAGGGAAGCCCGTCAGGAGAGGACAGCCTTGAGCCAGCTTCTGGTGGAGGGGAGCTTTTCAGATGTCAGGAAGGGCAGGCTAAGCTAATGCAGCCAGCCTCAGTTTCTCTCTTCATGGATGGATGCTGCCATTTATGTGTAATTTGTGAGAAACTGATGTGAACTAAGGTTAAAGTCCTGGGCCCTCCAGAACGGGAAAAGTGAGTATAGCAGTGTACTTCCCGCAATCCATAATAGATCTTCAGCATTTTGCATTGGTTCTTTCATATTTCTGACGTCACGAGTCCTTTGAGAATCTGATAAAAGCTACACATCCTTGCTCTAAACATTCCTATTTGCACATATATATACAGCATTTAGATTTTCAACTCCAGGGTTCAGAGATTCAGAGCCCTTGAGCCTGAGCAGGAGCTGTCCACTGTTTCAGGCCCCTGGCAGAGGGATCCGCGGTGGACTGCACTGCGAAGGTCCCCTAGAACCAACTCCGTTTGTGGCAGTGAAATCCTCTCTATGCCATCACATGTTAAGCCTAAGCTTGAAAACTTCCAGAGTTGGGATTTTTTTTTTTTTTTTTTGCACTAGTTCTCTCCATCTTAGATAGCTGTGCCTCTTCGGTGCTTCTCATACTAAATCAATGTTGGTTTTTTAATTTTTAATTTTTTGTCTTTTGAGACAGGATTTCACTATGTAGTTCAGGTGGGCCTTAAACTCACTTTGCAGCCCAGGCTGGCCTTGAAGTCACAGTGATCCTCCTGCCTCAGCCTCCAAAGTGCTGGCATTACTGGGATGCACCACCATGCCTGGCTATTGTTGGTTTTTAAATTTTCCTTCCTGGTCCCATGTGGCATGGGCTGGAATAAGAGCAGATCATCTGTCTTTCCATCATCTCTGCCTACTTCTCACACCCTCCACAAGCTTTTTAAGTGTTTATTTGTACGTGTTTGTGATACTTAATGAATGCCTTCATTGTGGACAGTAAGTACATCTACATATTGCACTTTGATCCTTTTTCTTCCCCTTCCCATCTCATTTGTCTTTCCTTCATTCCTAGATTCCTCTCCCATCTGCACAAGGCTCGCCTCCCTGTTTCATACTGTCTTTCATTTTGCTCTTTATTTATGCTTTGGGGTTCTCATATAAGACAGACTATGCACTATTTAATCTTTTGTGTCTGATTTTTTTACCTAGCACCATGATCTCAAGAGGCATCCATTTTCCTACAAATGACTCAAATTTTTCTTCTTTATGGCTGAGTAGTACTCCGTTGTATATACATACCACATTTTTTTTGCCCATTCATCTCTTGGTAGACAGGCTGTTTCCATGCTTTAGCTATTTCTCCATGAGTTTAATGTGTTTTATTTTGTAGTTTGTCTTCTAAGGCCACTGGAAAATCATTCTCTATACAAATGCAGAGATCTTTGCAGTATAAACAATTCCCAAGCTTTCCTTTGAGAACTGTCTTCAGGGAATTAATACGTTTCTTCAGACTGAAGGAAACGTCCCAGGGTTAAATAAATCTGAGAATTAGGTTTCTTCTTTTAGGAAAGCTAAAATGTACATCAACACATTAAAAGTTTGATAAGTCCTGCAGAGGAGACTTTTTCCATGGTTCTACTATCCTGAGAAGTAGGTTTTGGTGACATTGCACTAAACACTGCTACTCTGTATGAGTTTTTAAAGGTGTACAGGAAATAAATCTTTCAAAGGAGCTATTCACCCCAAAGTCAATTTTCCCTATTTTATTTTCCTCCACAGCCTCTTGATTTCGAAACAGCATCTATTTCCAAAATTGTGGTCCACGCAGAAAATCCCGAGCCTCTGGTGTCTGGTGTGAAGTACAACGAGAGTTCTTTTGCCAACTTCACTCTCTTTGTGACGGATGTGAATGAAGAACCTGTGTTTCCCCAACATGTCTTCCAAGCGGAAGTCAGTGAGGCTGTGGCTGTGGGCACTAAAGTGGGCAATGTGACCGCCCGGGATCCCGAAGGGCAGGACGTAAGGTACAGGAGGGCAGGGCCGGGCGGGTCTGCGTGCTGCAGCTACACCAGAGGGGATGGAGAGGGCTGGGAAGGTAGAGAAGCTGGCTGTCCTCTCAAGGAGCAGCGGGCAGTGTGAGCAGGGTCTGCTTTGGCCTTGCCTCAAGCAGGTGTTTCAGACAAGTGCGAGGCAGCTCCAGGTTCTGTTCCAGCCTGCTTGCTGCAGGGTCCAGTGAGAGCTGGTGCCTTCAGGGTGTGGCGTCCACCTCCCAGAGCCTGGGGAAGGGGCCAGCCCGGGGAGGACTGGTGCTCCAGACAGACAGCGGGAGGCACATGTCCAACCCACGGGGTGAGGGCATCTTGTGGGTGAAGGAGGCTGAGTTCCCTCGGCTCTGCGGAGAGCTGGTCTGGGCCAGCAGGATGCATCCCACAGCCCACGCCTGGAGGGCTGAGGCTCAAGGTGGGTGGCTAACAAAATGGGGAACAATTTCCAGTGCTTTTCAGTTCAATGGGACTAAACTATCTTAAAATATGCATACATAATTGTTTTAAAATGTACAGTGATGATTGGACATTTAAAATGTGCAATGTACTCAAGATATCTATCTATCTATCTATCTATATCTATATCTATCTATATCTATATATGGCTGGGGATGTAGCTCAGGGGCACAAGCACCTGCCTAGCAAGTGCAAGGTCCTGAGTTTGATTCCTAGCACCAAAAAAAAAAAAAAACAAAAGATATATATGATCTTGAACTCAGATCATTTGCTTCTGTTGTGGAACATTATCTGTACAGTATATGACATAGTAAATATCTCAGGATGGCTTAAAACAATGCATGTAGTTAATGACAATTCCTTAAATTTCTCTAAATATATGAAGGGGGTCCTGCCTCCTCCTTTAGGGATGTTAGTTTTAAGTTTTTTTGATTGTCTTGTATATTGGTCTGTTGATTGCTGTTATAAAATATGTGACTTTATAAAGAAGAGAGGTTTATTTAGCTCACATATCTGGAAATTCAGGTGTTACCAGATAGGGTGTAAGTGTCCCCAGGTGTGGTCCAAGGAGGTCCCCCAAAGAGGAGATGAGGACTTCAGTTTACCTCACCCGCAGGCTAGGTTTAGGTTTGCTGATTTGTCACAGAACAGAATTCCAGGATACCTCAGTGAAAGGCACAGAAAGATTATACTGGGCAGAATTAAAGAAGTATACATTCAGAATAGAGCGCAGGCTTCAGGAGAGGGCACATTATGGTTGGGGTGCAGGGTTTTTATGTGGTCTTTGGGGTATCCTCAAGATGGCTGAGCTAGGCTGTGTGGGCCTATGACCCATGTGGAGGGCTAGGTTAGAATGCACACCGTCTGCTTGTGTTGGAGCTGTAGTGTGATGCTGTCCCCTTAGTGCAGCTTCCTTGAGGATGGAAGTCTGGGCTTTGCGAATCTGTGGTGTCACAGGAAAAGTGCAGGCTCAGTCTATAGGGTGTCTTGGTTACTGCTCGTGGCTGATTCAAAATACTCAACACCGGAAGTTAAAGGAGGAAAAGTTTATTTGGCTCACAGTTCATAGAGGTTCAGTCCATAGTCAGCTGGCTCCAAGGTAGGGTGGTACAGTACAGGGGCCTCATAGAGGAGATACAGTCCACAGGAAAAGAAGGGCAGGCGGAAGGCAGCAAGCAAGCAACAAGATGTGACCCTCTTCCTGTCCCTTATATCTTTTCCAGGTTACCAGCCTTTAGGGTGGATAGTGCTAGCACCCAGCATGGATACCTTTGATCCTACCCAGAACTATGCCAAACCAATCACTGGACTAATTTAGTAATCATATATCCTTAACTCTAGCATCATTGAAAAAGCCCCACCTATCACTGTATAAGGCTTTGGGGTTGGGGACATCCAGATACAAGCTATAACACAGGTGAAAAGCACAGGCCCAATTTATAGGCTTGTTGCATCTTTGAGACCTTTAGGAATTTTTTTGGAGGGCGTTTCCTAGAAGGGAAAAAGGTATTACCACCTTGGGTAACCTTGATTGTGTTCTGAAGCTAGAGTGTTCCTAAAAGTACAGTTTAGAAATTATATTCCTTGGCTCCTTCCTATCTAATTTTATTGCTTCTCTCCTACCTCACGAGGCCATGGCAGCACTACTAACCAAAAAGCACCTCCCTTTCACCCCACCTCCCGACATCACCATACTGAGAACCCACCCGAGATCGCTGGGGGGCCAGACTCAAACCTTATCCACACTATAGCAGGGAGCAGAGTTACCACATATTGTTTTATGCTCTATCCACTCTAGTTGCAGAAATAGAAGAAAAAACAGTGGGGTGGTTGGGGATTATATGGTTTGGTATGGATACTATCCTATATACCAAAGTCATAAATTATGATGGGATATAAAATCTCTAAATTCTACAGCCAGTAGTTATCTACCATGCTTCCACCTCCTTCATGCAAATGCTGTAAAAATTATTGGTCAAGGATGTGTGAATACAAATTTTAGTTTATAAGAGGACAAAACAAAAGCATTTCAGGAGATTTCTCTGATGGATCAAGGAAAAGATGTAATGTATACATCCATAAGCCACAGGTAGGAGATGAGGTCAGCAAAAGAGACCAAAAAGAGGCCTCCGAAAGACACAGCTCTGGAAGACCAATCAGAAAAGCATCTCAGGAATGAGGAATAGCCAATAAGTCCAGATGCAAGTCAATTAAGAATTCAGGGTGACATCAAAGTTTGGGCCTGAGCAATTTAATTCTCCAGCTCTACATATTTAGAATCAATCAGCAAATGTTATGGATTCTTTCACTGAGGTACCCAGAACCCAAATACTTCTCACTGAATCCAGTGCAGTCCAAGCTGTCACCATCTCTGTTCTGGATGGATCCTGCCATCCCCTATGTGGCCCCAAGTTGATTCACTGTGCTGCAGTTAGAGTCTTTATAAAAGCAAATCCGATCATCTGACTCTACTTCCAAAGCCCCCCAAGGGTTTATACCTCTGTCAGGGTCAAGAACTGAGCACAAAGGATATATTTTTTTTTGTCTGACACTCCTACACACAGTGCTTGGCATATACTATATTCTGAAAATGACAACAAACAACTGAGAAAAATTAGTTTAAATATCATAATTTTAATCATTTTTATTCATAGACATGTAGCTTGTTTCCTGTATTCTTTATCATAGAAAATATTTTGAGTATATGTAAGTATGTAATTCTTTAACTTCTGTTATTATTTACTTAGGTAGAATTTCCCAGAGTGGGAATTTTTTTAACAGCTTTTTTGTTTTGTTTTGTTTTGTTTTTGACCAAGAATCGAACTCAGGCAGACGCTGTGCCTCTGAGCTGTATCCCCAGCCCCAGAGTGGGAATATTTGGTCTAAAAATATGCACATCCTTCTGGCCATAATGGGTTGCTTCCCAAAGGGCTGCACCTGTTCGTTTTCCCTGGTGTTTGAGTCTTGTCTCAAGTTCATGCCTACGGAGTTCCACTGAACACACAAACATGACTGGGTTCCCTTACACTTACAGCATTTATGGCCACCTCTTTCTTCTCATGGTCTGGCTTTTCAAATTTCTGTTGCTCACCTTTTGCCATCCACTGCTTCTCAGATGGATCCTGACACCACTGAGGTGTGTGACTCTTCTGCACCCACAGAGCTATCCCCTGACCTCTCTGCTCTGGTTTGTGCACCCTCTTCTGCTGTAAGTTCCCCAGTGCCTGCATTAACACCTCGTTCAGCAAGACATCTCTGATTCCTATAAAAGTCTCGAGGACCCCACAAGGCTCCATCCATGTATTTACCATCCTTTTTTTTTTTTTAGCATTATCCTAATGTCTGTCTCTTCCTCTGGCCCGAGAGCCCCTCTGGGTAAGCCCTTCATGTGGCCTGCTGCCTGGTGCTATTAAGCACTCAACTCATATTTGTTAAATGATGGATTCACTAAGCCACCAATGATCTGTGATTATCCACCTGCTTTATCTAATGTCTCTACCTCTGGGTGTTTAGCATTTCTTAGAGGGGGAGGTGTGCTGGGCGGTTTTTAAATATACTTCCAGATTGCCTTAATTTGGATTCTTTGATTGACTGGAAGGTTTAACTTTTCTTCTAAGGTTTGTGACTCTACCCTTGCTCTAAAAAAAGCATAAATGCTACACTGTAATGGAGAACAGGTTTTTCTTTTGAAGACAGAGTACGTGTAAATAAAAATGTCACATGAGAGAATGATCCTTTAAATATGTTGTAAATAATATACAAATGATAAAACTGATTTAATACAGTGATGCACAAACTGTTTTGTTTTCACGTGAAATAACGTAGGCTTTCTTCTGTTTTCTTTTCATGAAGATATTCCCTGAGAGGCGACACAAGAGGTTGGCTTAAAATTGACCCCATCACTGGCGAGATCTTCAGTGTGGCTCCACTGGACAGGGAGACTGAAAGTGTGTATCGGGTACAAGTGGTGGCCACTGAAGTAGGTGAGAAAAATCGTGGAACACAGGTTATCAGCGGGTGCCCTGGGGGAAATGAGAGGGCGGGTGAGGAACTTGAGGTCAAACCACCTGCATGGAATTGCTTTAAAGGAGGAGGATGGGAAGGGTACAGAAGTGTGGGGTCGTGTCCACCCTTCTTGATTTTGTGAAAGATTAGAACTACCTGTGGCCCTGAGCTTGGCTGTTTCTGGGCATTGTGGTCCCCGGAGGCTGGCCAGGCTTCCGGGGTACCATTTGCTCTGTGTTTTTTGTAGGGGCTCCTCCCTCTTCCAGGAAACTTCTGGTGCCCTGGTGCCCCTACCTATACTACCTCCCTCCTCCAGTGTGATTGTGGGTTTCTCCTGGGAGTGAGGTCAAACCAGTGGGCCTGTGATCTAGGCCCCCACCCACTTGCTCCTCACATTGCGGCCCTATCGGTTTTATCCTTTTGGATGCCAAAAATGTTTTGTGCAGTGTTCTCCACTTTGATGTGTCTGAGAAGCACCTGGCGAGCTTGCTCACTGCTGATCTCAGGAGCATACTCATGGAGATTCTGATTCAATACGTTTGCAGGGACTTGGGCATCTGGGTTAAGATGAAATAGGGTAAACTTTGGAAAGAAAAGACTATTACACAGACAAGCCCCGGGTATTTGAATAATCCTTGCATAATCTTTGCAACCTGTATGATTCAGTTGTGATGAAATATGTCACCTATTGGCTCCAACTGTGGAGTTCCAGGGAATTTTTCAAATTAAAATAAGCTCACAGTGCTTACCAATGATAAGGCTGCTAATGAAAACATTGAGTTCTTTGCATTTAAATGGAGTTTTCCAACCCACAGTAGATATCTGTTGATCTTACGCTGATCAGAGGCTCTAATTAGCCGGTAAATATATGCCTGGTTTACCAAGGAAGAAAACTGAACAAATTACTAAATAAATATATGCACTTTTAGACCAATAAGAAACAACTTTCAAAACGTGAAGCCCAAAATTGGAAGCTCGAATGGGGAACAGAGAAGGGAATCATAAAAATGGCCCCCGTATGTGAAAAGATTAAGGAAAACAAAATTACCACAGTCAAATGAAACCAAAGCAAGCTACAAACAAACGAATAAATATATGTGCTGCTGAAGCGAGCACTAAACGAATAAATAAACAAACAAAATTAGTTGTTCTAATTTGGGTGTGGTGGCATGCCTGTAATCCCAATATTATAAGCAGCTAAGTTAGACAGAAATCAATATATAATCAGAGAGGGGCTGGGCCCTCAAGGAAGTCAGTGCAAAAAAAATAAAGACGTCAGAATTGTGGCTGGAGGTGCATCTGAAGAGGCCAGGCCTCAAATCAATGGCCAGGGCTACATGGCTCCCTAAGGGATAAACAGTAACTTAAAATTGTACTGTAATTAGCACCACTGGCCCAGTAAGTCCAGCTAGGATTAGTCACCCCGCCTTTTCCCGAAATGCCTTTGTTCTTCCGTGCACCCCTGCTGCAGGACTCATTTCCCTGTTGCACCCATGTAAGCTAAGAGCTATACTTGTAATCCTATGGATTGGTTGTAGTCTGATCCATGTTGTGCCTACGATCTGATTTTGCTGTATAAATTACCCCTGAGAAAGGGTCTCAGTCACCACCTATTCAAGCGCCCTCCTGGATGTCCAGGGGCTGTTCTTCTCACCTTGTTTTCAATTAAACTCTCCTAACTTCAAAAACCACCCCCTCCAAACAAAAACCAAAACCCCAAAGCAGGCTGAAATGCAGAACTTCTACCCCAACTTCAGAATGGCGGTGTGAGTGGACAGGCCCGCTGGGACAGGTCAGGGACAGCCCGTGTCACTGCCTCAGCTTGACTGCATTCCACTCTCACACTGTGTACACTCGACGTGTGATTTAAAGACTCCCAGTTAATCGGCAGGACGGTTCTGGCTCAGCCTTAATGCCGCGTGCGCCCCTACGTCACTGCACAGGGATCAACACTTCTGTGAGGATACACTCAAAGCATTTCTCACATGTGAGAAATTTCATGAATCAAGACCACTGCCCAAACGCTGTTGCATAGTGTTGTTGGCCTTGAAGTAATGTAAATAGACAAAATGACTTCAAGAACAGCAGTGGGTTTTCTCCTTTTGTTTAGAGTAGTCAGGGATGTAGAAGATACACTTGGGAAAGAGAAAAAACAAAACAGGGTTGACGGGAACTGAAGTAGAGTCGCACTGTAGAAAGAGTGTGTGACGGCGGGGAGAAGACGGTCTGTGTTTACAGCGAACTGACAGCCTGTACTGTGTGCAGAGTCTGCCAGCTTACTGGTCATACGACGCTATGATGGATGTTCTATTACTAAGCAAAATTTGTGGAGAAACCAAAGCACTGAGCAGTTAAGTGACTTGCCCAGGATCATACTAAATATTCTCCCTGCAACAGCATAACATATAACAGTTGTGCAGCCTTTTATTGTTTTCCAGAACACTCAGTTATATGTGGGATCCTCACAAGCCATGTTTTCCAGCTGCAAGGTGGCTTAGGTTTTGGCCTGTCACTTGTAAGGCAGTGGTAATAGGTGTGAGGGAGGGTGTGGGCATTAGCTAGACCTCATGGGGTGGGAACCTCTTTCTCACCAGCTGTGTGACCTTGGATAAATCATACAACTTCTCTGAGCTTCAGTCCGCTCACCTGTAAATGTGCAGCAGCAGTTTGGATGCAATAGTATACAGATCTTTGTTAGTATTAGCATTAAGACTTTAGTGATACAACGAGATCTTTGATTCTAAAAGCTTCTATTATCTCAGTAGACCGAAGTGCTTAAATATTGAAATTCTTTTTAAAGAAAGGCAATATTTTTTCATATTAAGAGGACAGCAAGCATGCTGATACCGTGTTTCACTCATTCCGCTTCTCAGGTGGCTCCTCCCTAAGCTCCACGTCTTTTTTCCACCTGGTCCTCAAGGATGTGAATGACAACCCCCCGCGGCTGGCCAAGGACTACACAGACCTGTTCTTCTGCTACCCCCTCAGGACACCGGGAAGCCTGGTGTTCGAGGCCACGGACGACGATCAGCAGACTTTGCGGGGTTTCCACTTCACATTTGCCCTCGGCAGTGAAAGCTTACAGAACGACTGGGAAGTTTCCAAAATCAATGGTGGGTGGTTGAAAGTACATCAAGAAAAACACAGATGGTGGATGAAATTAGGCTTTATTTGCCTTGGGGGCGGGTAGTGTTTAGAACTCAGCACTGAGCTTTCGTCCGTGCTCCAGGAGACTTATACGAAGTCTCCAAAGGGGATGGAGCCCGGGTCTGTAGAGAGAGGAAAGACATTTACCAGCAGGTTCCCTTTAGGGCTGATGGACAGCTGGCTCATTTGAGCAACGTGTGCAAAATTTCTAATGATAGCTGCGAAGTAGATTTCACAAGTCTTAAAACTTTATTCAAAGATAAATTACACATAGTCACTGGGTACAATTGTATAACGATTGGTACATGGATATCATCAGTACAATCAAGTTAATGAATATTTCACCATGCCTAAAAGTTTTTCTTGCCTTATTGTAAAAGCCCTACCTTCCCAGCTCCCCCCTCCCCAGGCTACCACTGATCTCCTTTCTGATACTATGGGTTGGTTTTAGTGTTCAGTAATGTTATGTAAATAGGATATGACATCTACACTCCCTTGCCTGGGTGCTTCCACTTAGCATAACATTCTGAGGCGTGTTGTTGCACGGACTAATACTTCGTTCTTTATGACTGTGTCACAATCTGTTACCACTCCCCTGGCGATCAGGTCATTTAGTGTGTTTACAATTTTTGCTATTATGTATAAAACTGCTCTGGACATTTGTGAACAAGTATTTTGTAGGGATATAGTATTTTCCTTTTTCCTTGGTTAAATATAAAGGAGAGGAATGGGCAGATTATATGGTAAGTATATGGTTAAATTTTTAAGAAAATGTCAAATTACTTCCCAAATTGTTTTTTAACATTTTACATTCCCACAGATAGGAGTTTCAGTTGCTCTGTATTCTCCCCAGTGCTGGCTACACTCAGTTTAATTTTATTCCTTTGAGTATTAACAGTAGTATCTTATGGTTTTAATTTGTATTTCCCTAAAGACCAATGCATTAAGCATCTCCTCAGGTGGTGGTGTCTGGGCAGATACTGTTCCCCTTTAAAAACTGAGCCATTCAGCTTCTATTGTTGAAGTGCAGGCATTTAAAAATACATACACTTTGCCCAATGTATCTTTTGTAAATACTTTCTCCTAGGAAATTCCATTTTCATTTTTTAGTAGTGTCTTTTAAAAAGCAAATTAAAAAAAATTTGTTAAAATCCAATTTGCTTTTGCTTCATCTGATTTGTTAAAATGTTAAAAATTTTTTTTTTGCCAAACTCAATGTCACTAAAACTTTTTAATGTTTTTTTCTTCCTCCCAAATTTTATAGGTTTAACCCTTACTTTAGTTCTGTAATTCAAGTTAGTTTTTGTATAGGGTGCATGGTAAAGATGAAGCTAATTTTTCTAACCCTGTTTATTTGAAACAGAACCCTTTCCACATTGTCTTAGCAACTTTGGTAAAAATCATGTGACCTTATATGTGGATCTCTGAACTTTCCTTTCTGTTCCATTGATCTATGTGCATCTTCATATCAATACTACATTGCTTTGATTACTGCAGTTCTGTAAGACCTGGAATTTGGTAGTATGATTTTTCCATTTTCCAGAATTTTCATCACTTCCAGGTGTTTTGCATTTCCATATTTCAGAGTATAGTTTGTTCATTTCTAACAAAAGCAGGCTGTTGAGACCGTGAATGGAGTTGCGGGGGGGGGGGCAGTCTTCTGAAGCATGCACATGGTGTGTGTCTCTTCAAAAAACACATTGCTGAGAGAAAGTAAGGCAAAGCTTTCCCTAAGCATTTCATATTTTGATGGCTCTTTTAACTGATATCTTAAAGATTTGTATTTCCAAATATTGCTAGGATAAAAGAATGTGATTAATGATTTTTGGATGTTGATTTTATATGCTACACCCTTGCTGTCTTCACTTACTAGCTGTCATATTTTTAGATTCCATAGGTTTTCTACGTTGACAATCATGGTGTCTGTGAAGAATGACAGTTTTGCTTCTTCCTTTCCAATGTGCTTATTTCTATTGACTAGTGGTAGGGACAGCAGAAGTACAGTACTTGACTAACTCCTGATCTTGAGAAAAACATCAACCTTTCACCATCAAGCATGTTAGGGATAGGCTTTTTGTAGATCATCTTACTATGCTGAGGACTGTACTTTCTATTCCTAATTTGCTGAGTTTTTTCTTCTAAATCAGAAATGGGTGTTAAAATTTTCAATGCTTTTTCTATGTTCATGAGACAATTATATGCTTGATTTATTTTTTTGGTATGTTAATTGGTAAATTATATTGGTTCTATTGAATCTTAAGGGCTACTTGGTGGTGAAATATTATCATTGTTATAGATTATGAGATTGGTTAAATTTTTAAGAATTTTTTACATTTATAGTCATAAGGCATATTGGCCTGTATTTTTCTTATGTCTTTATTTGATTTTGGTATCAGTAATACTGGCCTTGTAAAATAAGTTAAGAAATGCTCTACCTCTTCAATTATCTGAAAGAATGTGTGGAGAATTGGTATATTTATTCTTTAAAGTTTGGGAGAATTTACCAGTGAAGTCACTTGGAATTCGAATTTTTTGATGTGTCAGAAATTTTTAACTATAATTTCTTTAATAGGTTAAGGAGCTTCAAGTTATATATATATATTTGTTTTGTTTTGTTTTGTTTTTTGTCTTTTTGAGACAGGGTCTTGCTATGCAGTTCCACTTTGTAGCCTAGGCTGGTCTCGAACTCGCAATGATCCTCCTGTCTCAGCCTCCCGAGTGCTGGGATTACAGGCGTGCACCACCATGCCCGGCCTCCAGTTATATATTTTTTTCTTGGTTAAGCTTGTATCTGTCAAATAATTTATCATTCTATCAACATGCAGTTATTTGTATTTTATTCTCTTAACATCTCCAGACATGTAGTGATATCAATTTGGTGTTGGTAAATCATTTGCTTATTTTGGATAAATCATCTGGAAGTTTATTAATTTTATTGATATTCTTAAAGAACTAGCTTTTGGTTTCATTGCTTTTTGTTTGCATTTCATTGTCGAAGTTTTCATTTCTTTTACTTTGTTTCATTTGTTCTTTTCTTATTTTTAGTAAGGTAGACACTTTGAGTCCTGATTTCTTTATGAATATATGCATTTGGTATACAAATTTATTTCTTAGTATTACTTGGCTGTATTCCATAAAGTTTGACATTGTGCTTTCATTAGTTTCAAAGGAAAATATAATTTTCCTTTATATTTCTTCTGTGATGTATGGATTATTTAGAAGTGTTAGTTTCCAAATATCTGGGGAATATTTCCTACATCTTTCTAATTTAATTTTATTGTTGCCAGAGAATATGGCTGAACCACTTTTAAATTTATTGAGCCTTATTTCTTTGGACTTTAAAGATAATTCTCTGTTCTTATTTGCATTGTTTCTTCCATCATTTCTTTGTTTCCTTGGAAGTAATATTTTTTTCCCCCTCAGGATTCTTTTAAAGTACTCTATCACTAGGTTTATGTAACTTGAATATCTGCCATGGCATAATTTTGCTTAAAATTTTGTTAATTTTTTTTGGATCTGAGGGTTTAGAATTTCTATCTTTTTCCTGCTTGCAACAAACTTTAGTTCTTATTTTAAATACTTTTTTCTCTTTCCACTCTTTCTTTCCTTTCAGGGATTCGATTACACATAATTAGGTCATTTGAATTCTCTTAAACCTCATTGATCTGTTTCCTTTTCATTTTTTCTCTATATTTTATTTTTGATAGTTTTTATGTCTTAAAATTCATGGCTTTTTTTTCTTTTGTTGTTTTCAAATTGCCATGAATCCCTCTAATATTTTTTTCATGTCAAATTTTATCATTTTCATCTCTATAGGTTAACAGGGGCCTTCGTGTCTTCCATGTCTGTACTGAGCACACTAAATCTTTCTTCTAGCTTCCTGAACATATAGGATATAACTATTTCTTATATTTTGCAACTATTAATGTCACTTCTGTACAGGTTTTGATCAGTTGATTCTTTTTCTGACATGTCTATTTTTTAATTAAATGGTAGGCATTTGGAATGCCAAATCTTTTTATATCCCCATAAATATTCTTGAGCCTTATTCTGAAATGCAGTTAAGTTACTTGGAAATAGTTTGATGCTTTCATGTACTGTTTTTAAGTTTGATTAGTCAAGTCTAGGGCAACATTTATTTTAGAGCTAATTTTTCCGAACTGCTGGGCCAAAAACCTGTCTGTGATTTGTACCTGATTCCCTGTGAACTGTGAGGTGTTCCAGCCTGAGTCCTAAGACAGGAATAGTTCCTGGCCCATTGCAAACACCAAATATTGTTCTGCCTAATTTCTCGTGTAGATTGTTCTTTTCCCATGACTGGGTAACTCCCTTATGTACGTGCTCTGCCCTGTACTCAGCTAATAACTTGGCAGATCTGTACAGTGTGTATGTGGGCTCTACCCCGTCTCCCTGCTTCTCTGCTTTATGAATCTGGTTGCCTTGACTTCTCCTTATTTCCACTTTGCGCCTGAACTTGGGCTCTGCACAGAGTCCTGGGCATTCTGTGTAGTAGGAACTTGTAGAACTTACACCATTCTTCTTCTTTTAGGGATCACTGTCCTTTAATGTTTAGTGTCTTTAAAACCATGATTTTGTGTATTTTTCTCTTCTTTTAGTTGGTTTGGTGGGATGGTAAATCTGATCTCTGTTAGTCCATCTTTGCTAGGAATACAAGTAGAAGCCATAATTTTTAGGTCTGAAAATATTTCCCCAAATTCTGGAAAAGTTGTAGGCATATACACTTATGGGATGCTGTCAGAAGAATGAATTGCAATAAGATCACAACTGTTTTCAGAAATTGAGACTTAGGGCAGTGCTGTCTAATGTTCCTAAGTGTAAGAAGCTGTGATGTGCCCTACAGAGCAAATAATGTTAGGTCAGCTGTGTTCAGGCAGGTGTTCTAGTGCTACTGACCCTGGGATCAGACCTAGTAATATACACTAAATAAAGCATCTTCAAAGAGAAACACACAGGAAACAAGCTTATACGGCCATCACAATTTTGCACCTGAAGGAAATAACCCTGTATGTCCTGTAGAAACAAAGGTTTAGTATCTGGGGCAGATTTATAAACACACTTCTGGGACTCATTTCCACTAACATATCATGAGTTGAGAACTTAGCCCTTATTTACAATCTGAGCAGTTACAGATGGAAGGATCCAGGTGATATTTTGAGTAATTGAACACATAGCTAACCCTTTCCCAGTCAGGCTGAGTATATGATGCCAACAGGAGTTTTATTTCTGCTGATCCAGGAGTCTGAAGATGTGTTTTTTTTGTGTCATTCTTGTTTTCCGTGATCTGACAGGAACTTTTGCCAGAATTTCCACCAAGCACACAGCCTTTGAGGAGAGAGTTTACAAAATCCCAATCCGTATCAGTGATGGAGGCCGGCCACCCTTGGAAGGGACGGTCGATTTACCAGGTAGGTATTTTGCTGCAGGCAACTTAAAAGAAGAAAAAACTACAAGAAGTTTTAGGGGATTCTTATTTTTGATATGGGATTCTGTACCTATTCGCCTGAAAATGGATTCTACCAAATACTCTTCTGTTTTCCAGTTACCTTTTGTACCTGTGTAGAAGGAAGCTGTTTCCAGCCAATAGGCAGACAGGATGGGATGCCCACTGTGGGTATGGCTGTTGGTATACTCCTGACTACTTTTCTAGTCATTGGTAAGTGTAACTTCTCAACTTTGAGAATTCCTATCTGTTGCTTCAGAAATGTGAGCTCACATCAGGGCCTATCTTTAAGGGTTCATCTGGTGTCTGAGTACATGGTAACCAAGGCAGTAGTCAAAGACACAGATCACCAGTCCACTACACCAAAGAACCACCCTCTACCTAGCATTGCCTTAGAAGAGGCTTTATATTAGTCACCTTTTCTTTCTGCATATAAAGAGAAAGGGTTTCTTTTGGCTTATGGTTTCAGAGGTTCCAGTCCATGGTTGATTGCCTGTTGCTTTTGGGCTTCTGGGCAGGCAGCACATGGCAGAGCAAAGCCATTTATTTACCTGATGGCTGGGAATACACAAGAGAGGATGCTATTTCCTTTTAAGTATTCTTGGTTATTGAAGTAATTAAGCACTCTTTGGATCTGTTTTTTTTTTTTTTTCTTGCATGATCCAAACTGTCACATTGGACTCTGATTCATGGGTTGAAAGGGAATCTCCTTTTATACCCTTTGGTTCAAGCTCGGGACAGGAGGGCCTTTATGACATGGCTGCTACACGTCCTAATGTGCACGGTGATGCCACATCTCCCTGAGAACCACCACCTATTGCACACCTTTCATATAATTCAAGTGACTACTTAAAGTTCCATTCACTCACCATGCTCCCTTCTATAACTTTTATTCTTTTACCCACCCACCTTGAAAGGGTTTTTTTTTTTTTTGAGTTTATATACCAAATAACCATTTTTTAACATACTCATTTAACCTCACAAATTTAAAGAATGGATAGGTGTGGAGATCTACAGTAGTAGAATTAACAGGATCTTACAGTTTCATACTCTTCAAAAATAAGTTTGGGATTATTAAAAGATTCTTAGTGGTCTTTTGGGCAAGGAGTCCTTTCTGTGATGATGCCTCCTGTGATCTTACTGACAAGTTCATTTCCTTAAACAGCTCCGCTTTTCACAGCAGGCTTTGGCTGCACACATTTAGTGCTAGGATTCATGATGTAATTTTGGTAGGAGAAATCAGAAGTCAGGCAGTCTACTTAGGGTCACTCAACAGTGTAGGCTAGAACCACGAAGAAGCCGTCAAAGAAAATGTAGATTTGGGGTGGACACAATGAATGTAGGCGCTAGGTAGGTGAACCGCTCTCTGGTGGTTCTAATTGGACTATTCTCTAGGAAAAAGGAAGAATCAGTATTTGAACGTGCACAGGCAGTGGGGTATAGGACATTGGGTCCTAAGGTCCTTGGCAGAGGCACAGTGACAGCTACAAATTTAGGAATGATTTGGGACTTGATACACCCCATGTGATAAAAAGTGATAAGCTTACTTCTCCAGGAACACTAATTCCTAGCTCCCTGAATTCATTAGCGCAACAAAACTTTGTTGAACCACACACAAAATTAGAGTCATTTTTTCCTAGCATAATACTACTATGTAAGGGACTAACAATACATTTGAAGAGTCCATTTGTTTGACACCGAGTTTTCTCTTTCAGGTATAATTTTAGCAGTTGTGTTTATTCGCATCAAGAAGAAGAAAGGCAAAGATAATGTTGAGAATGCTCAGGCATCTGAAGTTAAACCCCTGAGAAGCTGAATTGGAGAAGGAACGTTTGAGTTTAGACTATGTGAAGTGCTATTTCAATGACACAACTGTTTAATCTCATAATTTTAGTTTTCATCTAACATGTGTGCTATAATTTTTTACAGATATTCCCTCTTGCCCTTTAATATTTTACTCTTAGATATTTCATGTACTATAGACATTAGAAATATTTTCCATTTTCCCATGACATTTTTCCCCCCTCTAAAGCCTCAGCTACTTAACCCAAACTAAAAATGTATGTGTTCTTCCCCTTTGGGAAAAGATAAGCTAATTAAATATTCTGCACATTTTTTTGCTTCATCAAGGGGAGTTATCAGTTATCCACCATAGAACTTTCTGGATTCCATGAATGCCTTTTCTGATTCCATCCTTTGTCCACGTCTCCTTTTACTGAATTACAAAAGAACAAAGAGAGGTCTTAGGGAGACCTGAAAGAGCAGCCTTGACCCTCAGTATGAAGAGAAACTCTTCTGTGTTATTCACCATCCTTAACCCAAAGTGGTCAGTGCTGCTGTCCAGCTTGGGAATGGCCCAGAGCCCTAGGAAACGCCCAACACAGTTGCTCTGTTTCCACAAAGGCCTACTTCATACACCTGGGGGAAGAAACAATCAGCTGCCTGGGTTTACTCACTCCCTACCACGCTTACATGCTGCGCATGTTTTCTTTATTTGTATATTAATAAAGTTTTGGTTATTATGTATTTAACATGTGGAAGAAAATAAGGAAGCATGGAAGTGGCACCAAAAATCAAGAATAAAGGTTTGTGGTGGTTGTTTTGTTTCCCTGATCTCTGCCTGGCTCTTTTCACTTGCTGAGGGGCGGGACTAGATAACAATGGCTGTGGGCATCTGTTGTTTACTGAAATTGTCTCTCCTGCAGAATTTGTCCAAAAGGAGGGGTTGATAATAAACCAAAAAAATCACTGTTCGTGTGAGTGTGGAGCGAGGTGTTCCACGTAGGTACACCAAGAATTTTTCAACTTAAAGAATTTTGGAGATTTGGGAGTATTTCTAGGCCTGGGGCTGTTGTTTGGGCTCCGTTTCTAACTCCAGGAGCACCTGACAGTGCAGTACCTCTGAGAAGCGCAGGGCAGGAAGAGCTCATGGGACAGGGTGCTCACAGGCTGTTGATTTTCATAAATCACTTTATAAATTTCTATTAATTTTTTTTTACTGTGCCATCCCTATTCCAGTTTTTAAAGGTGAATGTTTTAAATTCCGTTTTAAGGGCCTCTGTCTGGATTTCTTGTCTATTATACTTTGCCTCCAGTGAGTTAGTGCAAAATGGTAGGACCACTGTGGAAGTCAGTATGGAGATTCCTCACAAAAGTGAAATGAGAGGTTGCATTTGCCCCAGGTATTCCCCCTTCTAGGTGTCTTCCAAAAAGAGTTTAAAGCATCATATCACAGTGGTATACATACCTGTGTTTGTAGCAGTACAATTAATAAGAGCTAAATCTTGGAAAGAGCTCATATATCCATCAACAGATGAATGGATAAAGAAAATGTATTTACATATAATACAGTACTGCTCTGCTATAAAGAAGGATAAGCTCATGACATTTTTAGGTAAATGGATGTACCTCAAGACCATAATTTTAAGTGAAATAAATCAGACACACAAGTTTAAACACTATATTGTTTCTCTGGTATAAGAAATCCAAAGGTTAAATAAGGAGCAAAGTGGAAGATAGATACTGTTTAAATTGGAAAGGAAATAAGAGAGAGGGAGGGAAAAGGGATTCAAAAGAGAATGGGAGGGAAAAAATGGAAACAACTTTTATGTATGGGGAGGGGAAGAAGGGTTGTAGGCAGGGGAAGGGACGGGAAAAAATAAGATACATTATGTACAGGTACAAATGTCCTATGATAATGTACCCATGTATGGCAAACATGTACTAATAAAAAAAATAGCTTGGAGACCAAGGTTTCGGGGGGGTGGGTATAAATGGTGATTCCTGTGAGAAGCTATGTACAAAATCTCAGGCGTTTCTGCAGGGCAGTAAATCAAGAATAGCATTATGAATGTGTTAGTCCATGGTATAGAAAATCCCCCAGGTGGAAGCTGAGATCACCTCTGAACTATCTAAAGCATGGGGACAATTTGCTTCCAGGATTTTGTATAGTGCAAAATGTATCATGGGAGTGTGGCAAACTTGGGACCCTAAGAGTTATCTGAAAAGATATATCTTACAATATCAATTTAAGAATTTTAAAGTATTTCACAGCATACAGTTCAATGGGATTAAACATACATTGTGTGCAACTGTCCCTATGATCCATCTCTAAAACCTTTCAAAAATGCCTGTGTTAAAGCCATAATTTCCAATTCAGCAATATCTCCCTCTTCCCTTTGCTCTAGACTTTGAATTTTTTTTTTTTTTTTTTATAGAGAATCAAACTCAGGACCTTGCACTCGCCAGGCAGGCGCTTGTACCACTGAGCTATATCCCCAGCCTGCCCCAGACTTTAAGAACACTAGTCTCACTTTCTGTCTGTAGGACTTTTACCATGTTAGGTACCTCATGTAATTAGAATGATATTTGTTCATCATATCAATTATTTTGAAACAGATTTTACACAAGTAGCTAAGAAGGAAAAAGAGAAGGTAGCATCCAAGCTTAGAAGAGTGAATAGACCAGTGAGGTGAACCTTGTAGAGCTTTCAATAATACAAACATCCTGTTGCAGCTGGCATTTCATAGTTTCATCACCACTGGAATAGATGATTGTAAGCTCAATGCTATTTTGATTTTTTGCATACATATATACGCATACACCACGTACACACAAATGCACCTTGAGCACATGTGAAGATATGACCACACAAATTAGTACAATGTCTGTGTTCCTTAAATGTCGTACTGTATATACTCACATCACTCCCGAAATTCTCAAAGCCTGTCATATTCTAGCTGAGCACAAAGACACACAGGCATGTGTTGAATGACCAGCTGTCTAATTCAGGAGTTCTCAGTGGATACACGATTTTAAGAAGGCATGGCACACCTTTTAAAAAAATATTAATTCCCGGATTCCACCTCCAGCTGAATTGTCTTTAGGTATGGGGCCTTAGCAACCACAACTGAGAACCCTTGTTCCAGACAATCCCTGAGACCAACCTAGGACCAGGCTGGTATGGAGTATGAGTCTTTTTAGAGTCGGCTGTGGACTCAGTTGTACGCCACAAAATGCCAGTGTTAAAGCCATAATTTCCAATTCAACTGTATGTGGAGACTGAGCTTTTAGGAAGTGCTATAGTTTGGATCTTAAGTGCTGCCCAAAGGCCCATATGGTATAGCTTTGTTCCCCGGGTACCTGTAGTGAGAGTAGGAAGTGGTGAAACCTTTAAGAGGTGAGGCGAGTGGGAGGTCTTTAGGTCATTGGGTGTGTACCCTCAAAGGGGATTGTGGGATTCTGGTCTCCTCCTCTTTCTGGCCATAAAGTGAGTGGCTTTGCCTCTCTGTATATTCCCACCAAAACGTGCTGCCTGACAATAGGCCCAAAGCAATGATGCCAATTTGTCATGGACTGAAACTTCCAAAACAGAGCCAAAACATCAACTATTTTTCTTTATAAGTTGATTATCTCAGGTATTTGTTACAGTGATGGAAAGCTAACACTGAGGGTAAAGTTAAATGACATCATAAGGATGATAGAACCTATGTTTTCAGAAGCGAGTGGCCAGAACCTGCTTTCTCTGCACACACAGGAAAGGCTGCATGAGGACACGGAGGAGGCAGAGTCAGAAAATGACCCTGCTGAGCCTCATCTGAAACTTTCAGCATCTAAACTGTGAGCGATTCTATGTTCTGTTGGTTGTTCAGTCTATGGTATTTTATCCTGGCAGCCAGAGTAGACTAATATGAAACCCTATTAGGGTTCTCCTTCAGAACAACACTGGCTCCCCAAACCCTCCCAATCTCAACTTCTGGAGCACCTTTGACCCCAACTAATGTTGCCCACATTTGTCCCCCAAACGCCCACATCGACTGTGACTTAGAACTCAGGGGCAGTGGGAAGTGCTACTGCCAGGAGAGCCATTCCTCATCCTGCAGAGATCCTTCAACCAAGCAGCCTGGTCACTCTGCCATTATGCCTGTGAGTGGCCAGCATGCAACCAAGAAGAAAGAAGCTGGTTCTTCTTGCGGGGCCCCCTTTGTGGGCCAGAGCTGAGTGATGAGCGGCAATGTCTCTTTTTACCATAGCAGCACCCCAAAGTGGCCCTTTTATTCCAGTGCTTGGAGAGTTGGCATTTTAAATTAATATCATAGACAATGTAAGAAAAGAAAACACACAATAGTTTTATAATATAACTTCTTCCTATTTTCCTGGTTTCCTGTGTCCATAGCTTTACATACCAGCATGGCATCTCCTTTATTCAACATTTCAAAATAGTTTCTTGAATATATTCTATTTTGGCCATTTTTAAACCATCTGGGCCCTTGAGACAAGGAGGATGGCCTCTTTGTTTATGGGGGTGGGGTGATTCCGAAAGGTGAGGGTCTGCTCCGGCGTCCATGGCCTATAATGTGAAGGGCTAAAGTACAACTGTACTCCAGGCCTCCATGTGGTTGTTTGTCTCCAGATAGTCATTGATTTCTTTGGACAGAACCCAAAGCCCATTTTTCCACGTGTTCCTCCCCCTGGGAGAGCTGGCTGAGAGGACGCTGAGAGGACACTGAGGCGGGAAGGTCAAGGGAAGAAGAGGCGGGCTACTGCAGTGAGTGCTCCTCTGACTGAGGGAAACATGTTCATTTTTTCCATTGCAACCATGAGGCTGATGTGTGAGTGTAGCATCTGATGGCTACATTTGGAAGAGGAGGAGGGCGGGCATATGGGAGGTGGGGATAAAAATAGTGACCGTGTTTACCCAGCATTTTTAGTTACTCTTTTGAATTAAGCATAGGATTGCGAGGAAATAGACTATATTTTTGGTAGCAGAAGACAAAACTGGGCCTCTTTGGCTCCTGGCCAAGAACAGATCCCAAAGGCAGAGATTCCTGGGGCTTTGCTCAGGCACAGCTACAGTCAGTCAGGGCCTTGTTTCATGGTGGATACAAAGAACTAGGGAGAAGGTTGCGGAGTGAGCAGGTCAGCTGTGGGGCAGGACAAGGAGGCCTTGGCTGAAGTTCTGCCTTCTGCAGGGTGGATGTCGCACAACCATTCTGGGACCTCCAATAGGAGGGGACAAAGATTTCCGTAAGCCAGTGGGACCTGGCAGACACTTGGGGCAAATCTTGGCACAGTTTGTGTAAATGCTGGCACCTGGCTTTAAGCTCTTTCAGCTGTTACCCCATCCTCTCAGCTCAGTGTCACTCCTGGCAGGACAACACTTGTCCAGACAGGAAACAGAATTGCCCTGGGCCAAGGTACTCACAGGTGAAGTTCTGGGAGGCTCACTCATAGGTCAGTTTGGCCCTCCCAGAAGCAGAAGCCATGAAAGAACTAGATGGGCAAGAGTTTTATGGGGAGCTGGGGCAAAGGCCTGTGAAGGGTACGTGGGAGAGAGCAGGACTATGCAGGAGCCCCCAGATCATGGTGGAAGTTTAATTAATGGGGAGGGGAGGAAGAAGGGGTGATGGGAATCTTGGGCCATTATGCAGTTCTGAAAAAGCCTGAGCCAGGCGGAGCGGGAACCCCAGAGCTAAGACGGTCTGTTGGGATCCGCACCTGCTTCTGGGACCCACTGTGCTCCGTCTCTGCTGGGAGCACGATGCTGTGACCACAAAGATACAGCAGCCAAAGGCCACCAGCCAGCCAGCTCCCCAGCAGACTGGGAAGATCTG